TAATACAGTATTCGATCTTTATCATATCTAAAACTACAGAAATTGACCTTTGGAGACTTTTACAAGCTCCAAACGAACCATTTCGATCTTACATCAACAGATTCAAATCAGTTAAAGCTAAGATCACAAACCTTAATCAGGCAGTAGCTCTACTTGCCCTGAAAACCAACATGTGGTACGAATAAAAATTTAGAGAAGAGGGGCACATGGATATGAGAAATGGGGAGGAGGTTGAGCTCGACTTTTGGAGCTATAAAAGGAGGACGCCTTGAGAGTTCGCAGAGACAACTTTTTATCACATACGTAATTTTTACTCATTTCACCTTGTATTGTTCTTGAGATTAATTCTTATTTCTCTTTAGAGTTTTCTTGTAACTTTTTTGATTAGTTAATAGAAATTCCTTTTTGACAAATCTTGCTTACGAATCGACTTACATTCTCAATCTCCCTAGATCTCTTCCTTGCAAAACCTATAAATTTCGAGTGTGATTTATGGCACCCATAAATTTCACGCCGACTGTGGGGAGGAAACATATATTTTTTTACACAAGGGTCGAACATATGCCAGGTAAGAGCAAAAATGGATTTAATATGGTCGCAAATCCAGGGATCTAACTCCCAAACCTCGATCCAGTTGGATCCGATCACCTCGAACATGAGTAGCGGCCAAACTGCCAAAACTTCGAATATTCCGCTCTCATCTTGGTGCGAAAATATTTGAAGTATTTTTTGACATAGTAACTTTTGTAAGAAAAGTGTTTGCAAATGGATATCCATTTCTTTCGAGATATATATATATATATAAATGGGTTTAGCATATCAGGCCTTGTACCATACACATAGGTAAATGGGCTATAACAGGCCCGTTTCGTCCGCAAAGCCCATTTTTAACATCCTAAAGAACAATCCCACGAACAATCGTCCGCCGGAACCCTAGTTGAAGCCAATCTGAAGAGAAAACACGATGGGAGATCTCCAAGCCGATCTGGTAGAGAAGAAAATACCCATGTCTGAATGTAAGTTTTGTGTATTCTAAGGTTTAGTCTTCCGCAACTTTGGCAACAGAGAGTGATTTAGAGAGTCATGTTCAAGAACTTGAAAAGTTGTCAAAAAAGTCGTTGGATGAGTTTGTCAAGAACAACAAGGTTAGTTTGTGTTCAAAACTTTATTTTACAATTTTTATTGATTTTAAAGTTAAAGAACTGAAAAAGGTATTTGAATATTCTGAGGAGTCTCCGAAAATCAGGAATGTGTATTTTTTGTTCAAATATGTTTTGGGATATTAAATTGATGATTTGGGAGGATTTCTATTTTTTTTCAAATCACCTCTTATTGAATCTAGCATTTGTAAAAATTACTCAAAATCCAAAGTTATTGGACTAATCATTTGTACAAATGCTTTGAAATCCTACCTTATTGGAAAATTAGGATTTCACTAGTAAAATATATCAAAATATGTTTTGAGAGATTTGTGAGATATTTTATAGTTAAAAACAAAGAGATCCAAATACCACCTTATGAGGTGAGATTTGAATAAACAATAGAAATATTTTTGTTTTTGTTTTTTCTTGTAACTTTACGGCAATTGATTAGAAAGTTCAGCATTGTTTGAGTATTCTTGCAATTTCAATTACTGCAATTATTTATAAAAGGCAAAAAAACCCTACAAACAATAGTCAGTTCACATAATGATGATCAATCCAAATTTTCTTATCTCATGGATGAAACAGTTTTTTCTTGCAAATAAAAACAGAGAAGAACATTTTCATGGGGATGATGCTTGTTTAAACTCTATGAGGATGATGCTCGATTTAAATATTTTATTGCTAATTTTGTTTTTGTTTACTTTTCAAATTCTTGAGATTTCTATAAATCACCTATTGAAATTTGCTTAAATCATTTAAAATTTTCCAAATCCCCTAAAATCTTCATAGATTTGGATTTATCTAAATACATTCAAATCAATGATACAATAAGCCCCCCTTAATTTTTTATTGACTCTCTCAAATGTAATTTTATTGCAGGCAGTAACAAAAATTTTGGAGATACTTCAATACATGGCAACATTGCAAGACGAGTACTTGGTAATTTATTTAATAATTGTCTTGTAATGTGAATACTAAAAAGTTATTTAGCTTGTTAACCTCTGTTTCTTTTTTGTTGACAGGGCATGGTAGTTCAATCCTTAATTCTTGACAAACTTGAAGAAATGGAGAAATTAAAGGAACAATTTTCAACCTGAATGGTGTTTTGGAAGACATTGTAACAAAATCAAAGCAAGTAGAAGCGATGTGGCGCACATGATAACCACAAACAAGGATATAAAAATGAACTACCGTGAGCAGCAGCTGAAACCAAGAGCATCATAGATTAATCGAATATGAGATTTACCCTAATCAATAAGGCAGTAATAAAAAATACTTTTAATTCGTAATCAAATGATAATAGTGTTTATGGTAAATGGGCTCGGTCGCATATTTTCAGGCCCAATCTGCCTTCCTGATGACGAAATTGGAACGCATGTGAAAACTAGTTTTAGCCTTTAGCTCTTCTTTTTAATTTTCAACAACAGAATATACCAAAGAAACTTTTTTTTTTTTCGACGACTGTATGTATACGAAATGAGTTAAGGCGATAATTGAGTTAAATGATGTTGCGGGAGCTAGGTAGGGGCATAAAGCTTAGTGACAAGGACATGGCGCTTTTACAGATGTATGCATAAATATCACTATGACCCTATGAGATAAGTTTTGCTCGATTGGGCACTTTGTTGTCAAATCTGCCTTAAATTCATTATTCTCGGAAAATTCAGGTTTGTGCCAATTGTCAATTGGAATCCCCAAATCTAAATTAGTGAGATTTAATGCCTAAATTAATCCTTTTTACTGCCTTTTCCCCAACCTAGTAGTAATGTATTATCTCTGTTTCTGACTGTGAATTTAATTTCTTTTTAAAGTCTTACAAAGAGTATCCTTTTATTTTTTAATACACACTTTTAATTTAATATCAAGTTTTGATTTTTCTGACCAAAAATAAAATTCGGGTTTGATTTTTTATTATTATTTAGAGGGAGAAAACTTTGTCATATATATACTGTAAAAATATTAAACTAGAATTATGTTTTTTTGTGCCAAAAAAAACTATATTTTTGTTATTATTATTATTAAGACTCATACGAAGGATACTGCAACAGAAACAAACGATTGATGTCACTACCATAGTACTCAAATTATTGATGTCATGTGTAAAAGAAACAAACGATGATCCACAGTTGTTTGTTTCTGTCATGTATTTACACTATCATGAGAGAATGAAAATGGAGAAACGTGGGTGGACCATTTTCTTTATCTACTCAATTATTGAACACTTGCAATAATCTCCAGCAGATTATTATAAATTTGTTCTGCATAGCCAATATATATTTTCTTCGTGTTGCCTTCGATCTAGGATCTCGGTTAACTTACTTAATACACTATCGGAAAAGGAGAAAATATGAAAAGAGTACTCTGGTGTGTATACGTACATGAAAATAACAAATTAAATACTAGTATCTTACATTCAAGACGTCTCATGGTATTATTCAATACATATACACCAATGTTCATTTCTTACATTTTAACCTCCGTGATCCAAAAATGGTAGAAGAAATTATCCATAATCATCGGCGAAAAAATGATGATGAGAACTTGAGAAGTTGTAGATACCTTTTTGTTGTCTCCACATGTATTCACACTCTTGTATCATATGAAAGTTATAGATATGACATATCTGTCAAAATTGTCGATGAAAAACAATATAACTTTTTTAATTAGGCGAACGTTCACATTTTCTTGTTCATTATTTCGGTGGTAATAACAATAATTATTCATTTATCTTGGAGACGGTTTGATAAATCATAATACAAATAATTGGACAATATATGGTTCTAACCTTTTACTATATGCGGGCCATATGTAGATACACGTACGTATACATTTATCAGTGCAAAACGGTGTAAAGTCAAAGTTGGTCCCGCTTAGCAGCCTCTCACGAACAAAAAAAATTATGAAATTATATTTTCCTGTTTTTTGCATCCTTTACCTACCAAGCCTACTTTTGTGATTTTTTTCTTATCCTTTTATTCATTTCATTAATAAATGAGTCCATGTAAAATAAAAAATGGTATTTATTAGCTGCCAAGTGACACAAAATATTTATACTAACCACCATAATTTATCCAGTAAATTAGTTATGAGTCTATACTAACAACTCTTTTCAATGTACTTATGTCATTATGTGTTTTTAAAAGACTGATCTTTTTGGTAACATTTGCATTTATCTATACCTACAAGTGACAAACTACCAAAATTTTGTTCGATCTTCAATTAGTAATCATAACAAAACGAATCCAATTCAAGAACGTAAGAAACGAATCCAATTTAAGAACGTAAGAATACAAAAATGGGAAGAACAAAATAAATAGTCTTATCAACGTTTGAAAGAAAGTTCATGTTGAAAAAGATATACCAACATTTTCTACTAACTGAAAGATGAAAAATTCTCAAATTTATATTGAGTTTAAAGATTTGTTTTCATCCTAACAATCTAACATAAAATGAATAAAAGTCGTTTCTGTTTAGCTATCGAGTTTAAGGGTTTTAGCTTATGTGAACCCACTTAACTAAACTTAAATGTAGTCTCACATTTCAACATTTTCTTACTTATAAAAATAATTGAGACAAGCAGAAAGATAGTATTACACCAGTAAAAAAAAGTTGGAAAAGTGAGAAATTGGTTTATGGAATGTACCTAGTACCAATTAAAACACTAATATTAAAACGAATAAGGACACATAAAGAATCTTGTTTCTTGTTTCCCCCTTCCCATGTGATGTGAACAATCAATCTTTCTCACTCTCTCTTTTGATTTTTCAAGTATTATATAACAAGACAGTCCAAGACACCTCTTTTCCCACACCAATCTCTCAGAGGATCTCAATCTCAGATCGAAACAGAGAGAGAATGGGTTTCTCTTCCCAAGAAAGCCCTTCTCTCATCTTCTCCTTCTTCTTCTTCCTCTGTCTTTCCACAGTCTCTGCTCACACCAACACAACCAGCAACAATGGAGTTGAAAAAAAGATAGCTTCTGGGAAATGCAATTGGTTTAAAGGGAATTGGGTTTTCGATGCTAAGTACCCACTTTACAACCCTTACAAATGTCCATTCATAGATCCACAGTTTAACTGCAAGAAGTATGGTCGTCCCGACAATCTTTACCTTAAGTATCGTTGGCAACCATTCTCTTGCTCTCTCCGCAGGTACACTCTTCTTCTTCTCTCTCCTTATCATCTTACATTCTCTCATTCAAGATCAAAACTTTTTGCCTTTTTTCATAGATTAGACAGAATAATAAATTTTGCACATGGTCAAGGATTGAGCTTATTTGTATTATTATTTTTTTACCAAGCAAAACTTATTTTTTCCTCTGTTCTATTGTGAATCAAACTCTGTTTCTTTCCATTAATAAATATGGAAAGCTGGAGAGTTCTGATTAATGCCTTTTACAGAGATATTTAAGCACATTGGTAAGTAAAAGCTTTCAAAGTCTTTATTTCTTTTTTCTTTCTCTTCTGTCACTGTTTTTCCAATTTTTTTGCCTTTTTGGATTTCAAAATTTGAAACTTTTGTGAGTTGCTTTGGAGCAATAATGTCTCGATATCCCATGATTTCACTTCTCCAAAAAGGTATTTAAAATCGAATCCGAAGCACAAACCAAAGTGTTCTTGATTAAGTAAATAAACAGTTCAAATTTCAAACCTTTTTTAGTAACTTTCGTTCTGGAAAACAGTAAAAAACCTCAGAAATGGTTCTTTTTTCCCCCTTTACTGACCAAGAATTGAGATTTAATAAAACATGTTTCTTTTTTGGTTTCAGATTCAACGGGTTGTATTTCTTGAGGAAGATGAGAGGGAAGAAGATAATGTTCGTTGGAGATTCACTAAGCACAAACATGTGGCAATCTCTTGCTTGTCTGATTCACACTTGGGTACCTAACACTCGTTACACTTTTCTTCGCCAAAAGGGTCTAGCTTCACTCACCTTCGAGGTTTGTCTTTTCATTCATATTTAACAGAAAGTAATCAATTCCACTGAAATAACTAGATATTTATTGAGGTATATGATTTTTCACAAGTCATTAAGTGGGTTTTAGGCTTTTAGCTTTAATAGTCTGGAAAGTGAGGTAAAAGTTTTGATTTTTCCCCCTATAATGCTTACTGATTTTAAATAGGATAAAGTGAACGAAAAAAGGGGATAAAGTTATCATTCTTTGTCTCTTTTGATTTGATATAAATAAATACAAATTATAATGCTCTGCTGTATAGTTATAAAACTAGTAGGACAAGAGAATGAAAGAGCATTTAAGACATGAACGTGATTAGTGACCTATTTCCCAAAAAAGAGAATCTCCCGGATTATCATGTCATGTTATTAATCTTTATGATCATGAGCCACATGGCTGAAAATACAATAAGGTCGAAATGATAGAGTATCTAAAAAAGCATCAATTTGTGTAAATGGTACTGACGCAGGAATACGGAGTGACGTTGATGCTATACAGAACACAGTTCCTAGTTGATTTAGATTCGGAGAAAGTTGGGAGAGTGCTTAAGCTAGATTCCATCAAGCAGGGCAAAATGTGGACTGGCATGGACGTCTTGATCTTCAACAGCTGGCACTGGTGGACCCACACCGAGCACATCCAGCCGTACGTTACTCTGTCTAATTGGGCTCTGTGTCGTTTTTTTAGATAGTTTGACTTAATTTGATGATGTGTACGTGTGTTTGTGTGTATATGAACACCAGGTGGGATTACATGGAAGATGGGAAGAGGTTGTACAAAGATATGAACAGGTTGATCGCTTACTACAAAGGAATGACCACTTGGGCTCGATGGGTTAATCGTCATGTGGATCCTTCTAAGACCAAAGTCTTCTTCAATGGCGTTTCTCCTACTCATTACGAGTAAGTTCACAAACAAACATACGCATTGATTACTAGACAACATTTTCTAGGTGATTATTTATGGTTATGCCATTTCTAAAATACTTTCTTGGCATAATTTGATTAGAAGATAATTTTTGTTTGCAGGGGAAAGGATTGGGGAGAGCCAATGAAGTCATGTAAGAGTCAGACGCAACCATTCTACGGGAGGAAGTATCCAGGAGGGACACCAATGGCTTGGGTGGTTCTAAACAAAGTAATGAGGAGATTGAAGAAACCGGTCCATTGGCTTGACATAACCGGTCTCTCTCAGCTTCGTAAAGATGCTCATCCTTCTGCTTTTAGTGGGAACCATCCTGGCAATGACTGTAGCCATTGGTGTCTTCCTGGTTTGCCTGATACTTGGAACGTACTCTTTTACTCTACTCTTTTCTCTTGAATTCTTCTTTTCTTTTTCGTCGATGTATAAGTTACTCAAGAACAATCTATATTTTTTTTAGTTATAATTGCATTGTGGTCGCTTGATTCTTGACTGAAATAACGTTTTTAATGTCTGCATGACGAAGAAAACATCCCAAGAATACAATATACAAAATTCTTTTTAATCACTATATACAAGCTAGACAGATTTAAACTTGAATAAAAACATTTATATTAATAACTTAGCTAGATTTTACCAAGTTATAATTAGCAAAATGGCAAAGATAATTAGAGATAACTGGGTCCTAGAAGAGATAAATGGGCCTAAACGAAAATAGAAGAAGCCTCAGATTTGCATGCGAGGTATTCGAAATTGGAACCGACGACCAATCTGAATTTTGAGAACTTGCGAATTTTGAGAACCGACCAAGCAAAGAAAAAGATCGAGACGGCAAAATCCTCCGGGAGGTCTCCACGTGTACTTGTACGGAAGGACACGTGTCAAGAAGGCCATGTGATTGGCTTCTTCTCGTTGGCTCAATAACATTTGAACCTGATCTCTTCCCACAAGCTGAGTCACCCTCTCTTCCTACACGTTTTCACTAGTAAACTCGACACGTCACACACCTTCTACCATGACCGCCCAAATGATAATTCTTCTGATTGATTATATAAACAAGAACGAACGAAAAAGGTCCATAGGAATCATCCAAGAAAAGAAAAAAAGAAAAGAATCATCCAGTTTATTATAATCTTGAAATCAGTTTCTGTTTCTTGAAAGTGTTATCGTTAGCATACAACAACAATGTCGTCAGAGCAAGCAAGAAGAGAGAACGTGGTGAAAGAGAGGGAAGTTAAAGTGGAGAAAGACAGAGTCCCAAAGATGACGAGTCATTTCGAGTCAATGGCCGAGAAAAGCAAAGATTCGCCGCAGAGCCACCACCATAAAGAGGGAGAAAGTGGTGGGACACAGTTTGTGTCGCTCTCGGACAAAGGGACTGGCATGTCGGTTTCTGACGAAGGAGAAGGTGAGACGAAGATGAAGAGGACGCCGATGCCTCACACCGTCGGAAAATTCGTCGTGAGCAGTGGAGATAAAGATCAAGGGACGGGAAAGAAGAAAGAGGAGGAGAAGCAAGAGAAGGCCTCGCTGGAGGATATTCGTGGTTATAGAGCAAATGCTCAGCAGAAATCAATGGATACGATTCGAGCAGCTGAGGAACGGTACAACAAGGCCAAGGAGAGCTTGAGCCATGGCGGACAAGAAGCTCGTGGCAAAGGAGGAGAACAAATGGAGGGAAAAGGGCGGGAAAGTGGTGTCCATGTTACTACTCACTCTTCGGCGGAGAAAGGACTAGGAGCTGCTCCTGTCTTTGGCCAAGAAGCTCGTGGAAAATTAGGTCAAGAAAGCGGGGCCGAGAAAGCACGGCATGCTCAGCTTTTGGCTGCCGGAGGTGCAGAGATGAAAGAAAGGAAAGGACAAGAAACAGTTGGCGGCGGCGGTGGTGGTCGGAGTGCAATAGAAGGTGCTCAGAAAGCAGGAGCTAATAAGATAGATACAGGGAGTGAGAAAACTCAGAGACCTTCCGATTACGTGACGGAGAAGGGAAGGGAAACAGAACACGTGGCGGCTCAGAAAGGTCAAGAAGCTAAAGAACAGGCTGCGAGAGCCAAAGATTACGCTGCGGAGAAAGCTGGTGAAGCTAAAGATACGGCGGCAGAGAAAGCTCGGAGAGCTTCTGAATATGCAAAAGAAGCTGGAAATGTGACAGCTGAGCAGACGGGGAGAGCAAAAGACTACACTTTGCAGAAAGCTGGTGAAGCCAAAGAGACTGCGGCTGAGAAAGCTCAGAGAGCTTCTCAGTATGCGACGGAGAAAGGTAGTGAAACGGCTAAGACAGCAGCTGAGAAGGCTGCAAGAGCAAAAGACTTTGCCTTACAGAAAGCTGTTGAAGCGAAAGACATTGCTGCTGAGAAAGCTAGGGTAGCTTCTCAGTATGTGACAGAGAAAGGGAGTGAAGCTGGAAACGTTGCTGCTCAGAAAGGACAAGTGGCGAAAGAACAGACGGTTTCAATGACGGGAAAAGCGAAAGATTACACTGTCCAGAAAGCCAGTGAAGCGGCGGAGTACGTCAAAGAAACGACGGCTGAAGCGGCGGAGTACGTTAAAGAGACGACGGTGGAAGGAGGAAAAGGAGCGGCACACTATGCTGGGGTGGCCGCTGAGAAAGCGGCTGCAGTTGGGTGGACGGCGGCGCATTTCACCACGGAGAAGGTTGTACAAGGGACGAAAGCGGTTGCAGGTACGGTGGAAGGAGCGGTGGGTTTTGCAGGGCATAAGGCGGCAGAAGTGGGATCTAAGGCGGTGGATTTGACTAAAGAGAAAGCTGCCGCGGCTGCTGATACGGTTGTTGGGTATACGGCAAGGAAGAAAGAGGAAGCTCAACACAGAGACCAAGAAATGCACCAGGTATTGCACAATCTAAAGCAAAGGTGAAATTTCTCATTTGAGTTCCATAACGTTGTTACTTGTTGCTCAAGAAACTGTGTTTTTGTCTTTTTGAATTTGATTTTGAGGGAGGTGAGGAAGAGCAGCGACCAGGGTTTGCCACAGAAGCAAGAAGAGGCTTTGGAGGAGAGTTTGGAGAAGAAAGAGGGACCGAGAAAGATGTCTACGGTTATGGAACAAAAGGAACGACTGGAGAAGAGATTAGAGATGTCAGAGAGGAGTATGGAGGAGGAAGAGGGAGTGAGAAAGATGTCTTCGGATATGGAGCACAAGGAATGGCCGGAGAAACGAGGAGAGATGTTGGGGAAGAGTACGGAGTTGGTGGAGGAAGAGGGAGTGAGAGATATGTCCAAGAGGAAGGGGCTGGAGCGGGAGGAGTGCTTGGGGCAATTGGCGAGACTATAGCTGAGATTGCGCAGACGACCAAGAACATAGTTATTGGTGATACGCCTGAGCATGGAACTGCTCCTGATTATATGAGACAGGAACATGGACATCGTTAAGAAGTAAATGGAGAAATGTTTTGGGTTTTTTGTTTTGTTTTGTGTAAAAGGGTTTTTGTATGTAATAACAAGAAGCTCTTGTTCAAAGAGTCTCCTGGTAAATAAAGAAAACTCTGTTTCTGTTTAAATGTTCAATGTATGGTTATTGATTTCTCAGGTCTTCTTTGAAGTGAAAATGTACTAAGCTAAAAAACAAATTTTAAGAAGTGTGTAAATACATCAACGAAATTCTTTAAAGACGAACATGTATTAATATTTTTGATGTTGTAAACATACACTGAAATTTACATTTTTGCATCCAACACGAAGAAACAAAGATGAATCCAAGACACATACACACACTACTGAACATGAACGAAATTGGAAACTGGAATGGTTCTCGGAGGTATAATCTTCACCTTCACCTTCACCTTCAATGGTTTGATCCTAACTTTCTTAAACTGTGGTGGCTTTACTGGAATAGTCTCCAACTTCAAGGGCCTCTTCAACTTCAACAACAGCGGCTTTCTCTCTCCACCGGCGGCCATTATCTTCTCTCCGGTCAAGAACGGATGCAACAACAACTCCGAAGCGCTACTTCTTTCATCAGGTTTACTTGCAAAACACTTTTCCAAAAACTTTCTTGCATCACAAGGCACCGTATCCGGAATCTCTGGTGCGTTGTTGTCCACCAGATGAGATTCAAGATCTTCAAACTCAACCCCTGACCATGGCTGCTTACCGATATACATCTCCAATACTATGCAACCGAGCGACCACAAATCTAGGGCTTTCTCAACGGTACCGTATTGGACTGACTCGGGAGACATATAGATAGGTGTTCCAACAAACGGAGAATCGATTCCCCAGTAATCAGATTCTTCTCCGGCCTTTATCGACACACCAAAATCCGAAATCTTTAAATCGTATGAACAGTCCCAAGTTTTTTCATCGTACCGTGGAAAGAGAAGGAGATTGTCCGGTTTAAGATCGCAGTGGACATAACCATGGCTATGAATCGAGACCAATCCTTGTAGAATCATGCGTGTGAAGTCTTTGATGATCGTATCCGATAATTTTCTGTTTCGTTCCATGAAAGAAGTTAGGGTTCCGTCACCTGCGTACTCCATCACCATCTTGTAGACTTTGTTTCCGTGGCAATTGAAATCTTCAAACAAAGAGTCTCCAAGACAGTGAACGATTCTAGGGTTTCCTCTGAGTTTTCTAAGAGTCTGAAACTCTCTCTGGAGTGATTCGTAGTGAAGAACGTCTGAGATCTTTACGGCGTTGTAGGACATCGAGCCGTCGGGTTTACGGTATCTGAAGAGATCGACGGAACCGAACGAACCTTTCCCCAAGAACTTCACGAATTCCATCTCCGCTTGCATCTTTGCTATTGATTTATTCAGGTTTCTTCTGTTACTCTTTCGAGGGTTTCAAGATGACTCGTTCGATACAAAAGACTTTAGCTTCTTCGATCTTTAATGATCTTCAACGTTTCTTCAATTTATATAACCCTAGAGAAACTACTGATTCAGTTGGGAGATTGTAGTGAGAGAGAGTTAAAAAGGAAATTACTGATTCAAGTAGATATTGTCCGTTGGATCCATTTTGGGCCTTTTTATTTTAATTTAATTTAACCTTACCATGAAATTATTGAAATAGGAAGTGTTACTGACCGTCAGATTCTTTTCTACTGGCCCATGATCGGAATTTTTAACATAAAACAAAGTAAAACTGAAGTAAAAGAAATACACTGTTATGAAACATGTGACTAACCAATTAGTTTACCTCTAATAAGGATTCATCTCTTTTAACCCATTACTTCTTTACTAAGCGGGACCAATTTTGACTTTACACCAGTTTCGCACTGATAAATGTATACGTACGTGTATCTATATATGGCCTGCATATAGTAAAAGGCGAGAGCCATACATTTGCATTATTAAACCTTTGCTAGGATAAATGAAATAATTATTGTTATTACCACCGAAATAATGAACAAAGAAAATGTAAACTTTCGTGCCTAATTAAAAAGATTATATAACTTTTCATCGAAAATTTTGACAAATATGTCACATCTTCTGAACCATTTGCTTACATATCTCTTGGAGCGCTTCACTTACTTTGTTGTAGTCATCATCAGAAAATACCATTTGCTGAAGCTCATCTTTGCTTTTTATTCGGAGGGCATTGATTGATGCAATCTCCAAGTTATTCTCCTCTAGTCTATTAAAAATTAATAGTTCATCCGTCATCCCTCCAGCTGTTTGTATGAGTCCTCATGATAAAATAATATAACAAAAATCTAGTTTTTATATAGTTTAATATTTTGTTGTATTTATTGACAAAGTTTTGTCCCTCTAAATAATACAACAAAAAAAATCAAAACTCGATTGTTAATTAAAAATGTGTATTAAAAAGATAAAACAACATTTTTTTTTGTAAAAGAATAAAAATAAATTAAATCCACAATCAGAAACAGAGAGAATACATTACTAGGTTTGGGAAAAAGCAATAAAAAGGTAGATTGGGTCTTAATAACATTACTATGCTCCCGCAACATCATTTAACTCATCAATTCTCGCCTTAATTCATTTCTATACACACAGTCGCCGAAAAAAAGAAAAAAAAAATGAAAATCTTTGGCTGTTGTCGAATATGAGATTTACCCTAACCAATTAGGCAGAAACACCATGATAGTTCATTTTTCATTTTTTATATTCTTGTTTGTGGTTAACCTTTGGGCCACATCCTTATACTTGCTTTGAATTTGTTTACAATGTCTTCCAAAACACCATTCAGGTTGAAAGTTGTTCCTTTCTTTTCCATTTCTTCAAGTTTGTCAAGAATTAAGGATTGAACTACCATGCCCTGTCAACAAAAAAACAGAGTCTAACAAGCTAAATATTTTTAAGTATACAAAGACAATTTATAAATAAATTAATGAGTACTACTACACTCTTGCAATGGCATGTATTTTAGTTTCTCCAAAATGCTCGTTATGTCCTACAATAAAAAATACAGTAAGCAGAGTCAACAAAACTAAAGAGAGCTTTGAACACAATACTGACCTCCTTGTTCTTCACAGACTCATCCAAAGTATTTTTTGACAAAATTTTCAATTCTTCAACGTGATTCGCCAAATCATTTTTGTTGAAATTTCTAAAAAAAATATATTAAACAGAGTCAACAAAATTTAAAATCAATAAAACGTAAGAGTTTTTAATAGAGTACAAGTGCACTAGATCCCGAAATCTTGTGCTGTTTAGAGAAGTTGTACTTTAAGTTTTGAAATGGCTTTTTAGGTTTATAGAGGCCAATGTTGACAAAGCAACTAATAAAAAAATGTTAGTGTAAAGTTCTTTTTTAATTAATGTATATCGTACGTATTACAGATTTGCGACACATCCGAACATTGTCGATTGTTAGTTATATGTGTTAGATTCCCATTGAACCTGCAAAATTAAACAAAAGTCATAAGAGAAATTTTAAGAAAAGGTTGAGGAAGGTGAAGAAGAACCAAGCTGGGAATGAAAGTGGCTCAAGTCAACCCAAGCAATCAGACTCAGTCGCTCAAATCTCGACGGAGTTGAGTGACATGTACGTTTTGAATCTTAGGTTTTACCCTATTAATTGTTGCTGAAACTTATAGGAAGGACATGTTTGAGGTTGTAAAGGGATTGCAAACTAAGCGTGCGAGATAGCTTTGCTTAGGATGGTCATGACTCCACTGCAGCTTATTGTAGGTCAAATTGCTGGTCTCCCACCAAGACAGAAGCCTTTAATTTATTTAAAGTTCTAAAAATATGTTATGTTGATCTGCTTTTCTTAGTTTTATTGTTACCGTTGTGTGTGTCAAAACTCAAAGGCGTGTGTATAAAATATTTGCAATGATCTACATCCCTTGATTTTGCGAATGGAGTTTGTATACATCATCTACCCAATTGCTTATAATTATCTGACAGATTCCAAGTGAAGTCTGATATGGAAACTATACAAGTTAAATTGTTTAACAAAGGAGTCATATTCCATTGATCATTTGTTTTTATTCTCTGGAGAATGTAGAACTTTTTAGGCAGTTCCAGTACCCAAAGTATGAGCCAGAGGCTTTGGCGTTGGGCTATTATACAATAATCTCCCTTTGGTAGCTTTATCTCCAAGCTTTAGATAGTTTTGCCACCAAGCTTTACATAGCTTTCTCCCCAACTTTCACAAGCTTTGTCTTCAAGTTACTCTACTATATAAAGAGGTGTTTAGTTCTTGTAAGATAGCATGAGTTGGAGATAGATGTGTGTAAGAGCATAAGTTGAGAGATAAGAAGAAGAAGAACTTGTTGAGTGATCATACTTCTCTTTAGATCACATACTCTCTTGTTCAACATCTTTCTTCCCTTCTCTAAACTCTCTTTGATCTTTGATCTTTCTCATACACAAACACATATACATCTTGTTGGAGTATAGTTTATACACAAGAGAGTATTAGTTCACAACAAGAATCACAATGTGGCTTGCCACAATATTGGTTCAATATGTTGCAGGCTTTTGGTAGAGATGGGCTTGCAAACCCAAACTAACTTCTTGGCCGACATATGTTTTTGTTTCTATTACTACAAAAGTACACATGCAACGAGAACCACCAAAACTAGTACTACTTTTCTTGGGGATAAAAACTAAGCCCTTTATTAGTGCTTAAAATTTGCAAAAATAAAAACAGAAATGCTAACATGTAAATCCTGTGTTGCCAAAAATTGCTAACATGTAAACAACCACTACTAAATGGCCGACCTCTTTTTTTTTTTTGGAAAACCACAAACATGAGTACACGTGGCCATACAAGAACGAACATAAACTCATCTTAGAGATAAATAGCAAATGCGCAACAAATATCTTACGAGACACGTGTAATTTTGGAGTGTAATTGGTCTAGTGATATCTATAAAGCGAGACTATTGGAGATTAGATTCTCCACATCTCACTTTTGCTCCTCTAAGAAATCTCTTAGCTCCCAAAACACATTTATTTTCTTCCACATCTTAGAGATCTAATGGCGATGTCATTCTCCGGCGCTGTCCTCGGTGGGCTTACTTCTTCTTTCCACAGCGGAGGAGCCAAGCTTAGCAGCGTTAGCTCCGTCCGAATTGGCCAGAAGACTGAGCTTGTCCTCGTCGCTCAGCGCAAGAAGTCGTTGGCCTTCGCCGTTAAAAGTGAAGGCAACATCCTCGATGACCTCAACGATGCTACGTAAGTCTATATTTTGTATTTTGATTAACAAAACTGACAAACCATAAAAATGATCGATTTATAATATTTTGTAGTTTACATAGCCTTAAATATTTGAGAATTTAGTAAGATAATTCTATGTTGACCAGTGTAGATATATGTTTAAAATGGTTGGTCAATAATGAATCTGAATTGTTGAACAGAAAGAAAGCTTCGGATTTCGTGACGGATAAGACAAATGAGGCGTTGAAAGATGGCGAGAAAGCAAAAGACGTCGTTGTTGAGAAAAACACTGAGGTCGGAGAGACGGTGGCGGATGAAGCTAAGAAAGCTTTGGACTATGTGTCTGAGAAAGGCAAAGAAGCCGGAAACGAGGCGGCCAAGTTTGCAGAGGGTAAAGCAGGAGAGGCTAAGGATGCCACAAAATAAATCCCTAATGTCAAACACTCTTAACTAGTAGAGATATATTGATCCTCTCTGTCTTCATGTTCAATATTTACAATAAGATGAGTTTGTTCCAACTTCCATTTCACCATTTGAAAAATAATGATACTTTACTTAATTTCTCACCATTACATTTCAAGTTCTTATCAAATGATTAAAAAGAAAATGACTTTAATTGGTAATCCTTTATCGCAAACAGTAAGGGTTATATGGTTCAACCATTGTTCTAATGATAAGATGGAATGTGCCTATTTTGCTATTGGATGACATTATTCTAATGATGGGAGTATATAATGTGGCGCATAGCAATCACACGTACAATCTCTTACATAAGAGGTTATGGAAATTAATTATCTCTCGTAAATCGTAATCTAATAATGTGAAGGTAAAAGGTTGAAAATGTATCATACTTTATTTTTTTTGTTAGGTTAATATAAGGTGAAGGTATAAGTTCCATCGTTGGTGGTTGTTTGTTAATGTATTGCTCGTGTTACTCTTTGTATTTCTCATAATTCTTGATGCTCTGCTGCTTAATTTCCAGCTTCCTCCAATTACAATTTGGTTTCTCTCTTAAATTGTTCTAGTTTCTCAAAAATATATTAACTATGTAAGAGATGGTTTGTACGTCTTAACTCATTTAGGCTTAATAACACATTTATGCTTTGCCACCATAATGGTTCATTTTGGTTTTAGTAGGCTTCCGGTAGATTTGGGGTTTTAACTTGTTGGCCGACATAAAATTTGTTGTTTTTCATTACAACAAAAGTTGGTACACGTGGCGAAATGAGAACGACCTAGGCTAAACTTGATTACTACTTTAGTTAAGTACTTAACTAAATTTGCCAACAAGAAAATAGAAATGCTAATATGTAATCTTTAACTGCCAAAAGAAAATGCTAACATGCATATAGTCACACAACCACACAACTTGATGGCCGACCTGATTCTTTTTCGAAAAACCATAAAAATGAATTTACGTGGCCGAATATAATAGCGAACAAAAAACCTACTCTTCTTCAGTACTTAAAGATCACAGCCACACAAAAATATCTTACGACGACACGTGTAATCTTGGATTCTAATTGGTCTAGAGATCTATAAAACGATACTATTGAAGATCAGATTCTTCTCATCTCACTTTCTTCCTCTTAAACTCTCTTTCTCCCAAAACACATTTTTTCTCACATCTTAAAGATCTCTCTCATGGCGATGTCACTATCAGGAGCTGTCCTCGGTGGGCTTACTTCTTCTTTCCACAGCGGAGGAGCCAAGCTTAGCAGCGTTAGCTCCGTCCGAGTTGGCCAGAAGACTGAGCTCGTCCTCGTCGCTCAGCGCAAGAAGTCGTTGGCCTTCGCCGTTAAAAGTGAAGGCAACATCCTCGATGACCTCAACGACGCCACGTAAGTCTATATTTCATTTCAATATCTTTATGTAATCAAAGAACTTTCATTTATGTCTTAAAAATGAATGGTCAATATAATGAATGTGATGATTGTATAAAAACAGAAAGAAAGCTTCGGATTTCGTGACGGAGAAGACAAAGGAGGCGTTGAAAGATGGTGAGAAAGCAAAGGACTACGTTGTTGAGAAAACCATTGAAGCCAAAGATACAGTGGTGGATGAAGCTCAAAAAGCTTCAGAATATGTGACGGAGAAAGGTAAAGAAGCTGGAAACGAGGTGGCTACGTTCGTCGAGGATAAATCAGGAGAGGCTAAAGATGCTCTTAAGTAAAAGCCTCCTTCATTTCAACCACTTAACTAGTCGATTTATCGACCCCCTCTCTCTCTCTCTCTCTTTTCATGTTCAATATTTTCAGTAACATCATTGTTAATTTAATTTTTCCACTATTTGAAGAAAGATATGTTTCTTAATTAAACACCATCACATTTTCACAAATTGCCTTTGCTAACTTGACCATGAGATAAAACTAAAATGAATTGGATCAATTTAGCTTTGGACACAGAGAAAGAGGAAAATATTTTTAAATTTTTTAAGTAAATGAAATAAACGCCCCCTTATACGAGGAATAGCACCAATGTGACATTGTTCCATCTCGAGTCTACTCATCTGAATAAGGGGAATAGAGAGAAGAAGGTAAGTAACAACTAGTATATCGAATGCTTTATCAACAAGTAAACCAGATTTACCTGCAGAAGTTTTACATTTTGCGTTCAATGGAATGAATAATCTCGTGCTTCAAATTTATTAGGACTGCCTTGAGATAATCCATGTCACTCTCCCTTTTCAATCCCTGTATAAGCTTCAACATATCATCCTCAGTCCTCTTAACCTGTCACCAAGGGATCATGTCACATGCGTCAGGATTGTTTCAGCAACAACTTAGGAGTGGCCAAATCCAAGCAACCCAACGTCCCAACCCGAGAAACCTTGAACTTCTTTGGATATGGGTATTTCCAAGTCTAGTAATATTTTACTTCGTTTTGGTCAAATTTATATATGATCAAACTGGTCAAAATATTATGTAATCTAAATACATTAAACCCTGACCCCTATAGTAAAACGTATTCTCAAAATCAATATGTCACCTTCGCGTTAAATTGAGCGATTTCCCTTGAGACTCTTTCATCCTCAGTTTGTGCGGAGGCTTGCTCCTTGTTCTTCTTTTCCTTCAACTCCTTCTTCTGATTTTTGGTTAGATGTGGAATCTAACACATCAAAAAAACAACAATCAATAATAATGCTACAAGTGTTAATACAATACATTGGTTGCAAAACTCTACCTACACTAACCATTTTTCTCTCAGCTTCTTCCAAAATTTTGTCAACTTTGGACTCTGGTATACCTTTGACTTCTGTGAGGTACTGCTTCAATAGAACAGTAGAATTAATTCATCCAAGCCAAAATATAGATTAGTGTAAAAAAAAAAAAGATATACCTTCTTGGTTAGGTAAATCAGACGATTGCAGGTATAGATCCCACCATCTTCTAGTTTCTTCACATCTTCAGCGTCTATACCTTGGTCGATTACTGATAGGCACACATGCAGAAATAAGTCACGAATCCTCCACAGCACAAAGATATGGATGTGCAGACTATTAATTACTTGATTTAAACTTACATGTTTTAACCGGGATTTCGTCTTGCTCAATGAGTTGCATTCTGGCTCGCTTCTTCTAGTTTGAGAAGAGATCCAGGAACAAGATTCCCGAAACTTGAAATAAATAAATCTAACGAAAACAAAGATATGGGTTTGAACCAAATAAGAGAGAGAGAGAGAGAGAGAGAGAGAGAGAGAGAGAGAGAGAGCAGTAACTTAATGCTATGAGATAATCGCAGGATTGGCTTTGAGGATTTAGGGTTTTGTACGGCGGCACCGTTTATTAAGTAGTTTAGAGTCCCTTAAATATGTTGTATGTTGTATTTTATAAGTACCTCTTTTTCATGTTAGCAAGTAGCGACAGAAATAAATGTAAAAAAGGAAAAAACATACATATTTCGACAAGACAGTAGTAAACTCACGATAGCTTCAGCGTGAAACCCAAGAAAAGAAAGTGTTAAATGAAATCGATACGTTCAAAGACGAAAGCTTTTTCTTCTTGCGTTCAAAGAAGAAAACGCAAGCAGTTCCGCAACTTGATGCAACGATGGCTCCATTAGGAGTTCAGGCTGTTTTATGTCTTAATTTCTTTCTGCTACCTTGTTTTTTACATTTCATTTTTGCCAAGGTACCATGTTTAAGGGCTTTGCTGTTGTAATTACCATCTTTCATATTTATATGATATTTACAAGTTAGCAAAAAAAAAGAAGAGGAGAGCTTTTATGGATTTCGAAACTAACAAGTGAAGTTGTGCTATAAGAAACCAAGAGCACGATCAAAAATTGAAAACACAAACTGCGAAACTGTTTCTTTTAGGACATCCCCCTAAAAATAGCCTAGAAAAAGATCAAAACACCTAAAACAGCAACATCAGTTATATATCCATCTCATAGGTGTAAAGGGGCAAATACATATACTCTCTCTTTGGGAATGTAGAAGAAAAATAAATTGTCAAAAGTTATAACCAAAACCAACAAAAACATTGAGACCTTAGTCCCAAGCACTTGGAGTTTCTCCGCCATATCCACCACTTGGAGCACCATATCCTCCACCACCACCACCGTAGCCGCCTCCTCCACCACCACCGTACCCTCCTCCTCCACCACCATAGCCTCCTCCTCCACCGCCATAGCCACCTCCTCCTCTATTGTACCCTCCTTCCCTTCTAAAGTCACGGCCACCAAACCGACCACCAGACCGCTTGTTCTTACCACCACCAAAAGAGGAACGGGTTGCATATCGTGTGAGCCACTCAGGGACTTCCTGGTTAGCTTCTTTCATCAGCTCCGCGAGCTCTCTGGCCATTGAGGTGTTGCCGTCATTGAAGAAGGCAGTTGCTAGTCCTGATTTGCCTGCACGTCCTGTTCGTCCAATACGGTGGACATAGTCATCAATGTCGTTTGGTAGATCGAAGTTCACCACATGAGCCACATGGGGAATGTCAAGTCCACGTGCCGCTACGTCCGTTGCAACCAATATTGGTGTTCTCCCACTCTTGAAAGACTTCAGTGCCACTTCTCTTTCCTTAATGCATAAATAACAACACAGCATAACCTCTTAGAACTAGCCAATCTAGAAACAAACGATCTTGCAAATGAGTTCAGTTTCCTCTAGATTTTGTCTCTAGTAACGAACAATATTTCTACACAAGGCCTTCTCATGATTGATTTTGATTTCAACATTATCATGCAAGATTTAGGCTTCAAATCATGTAATAACATACCTGCTGTGTTCTGTCACCATGAATGGTGGTTGCTGGAAACCCATTTATGCACAACCAATTTTCCAAAGTGTCAGCTCCTCTCTTAGTCTCCACAAATACTAAGGTCAGGGCTTGCTGTAATTATAGAAGAGAATATAATCATCAGAAGTATGACAAAGCATGCCAATATATAATACAAGAAACCAACCATTTTGGTGATAAATCATGAGCTAATGTAAACAACAGCTGATTCCAAACAAAAGAGGAATATCATATTTACCTTTCCTTGGGTGCCATTCTCTCTCTGAGCGTGAAGCAGGTCCATCAGATGACTTCTCTTGTCAGAATCCAGGACAAACTCAACCCTTTGGACAATTAAATCAGTACTTGAACCAACTCTTCCCACAGCCAAAAATATATAATTTGCTAGGAAGTCAGAAGCGAGTCTCTGCAAAAAAAAAAACAAATACGCTAATGTAAACGCAGAAACATTCTAATATCAAGTATTACGCAGCTTTAATCACACAAGAAACAGAAGCATGAAACTTAATCAATCTAAAGCCCGCCTTAACAGGCTCACCATTATTCATTAAAGAAGTAGCATCATTGTAATCCTCTGACATACAGAACTATCAATACCATGTCAGATTACTGGCAATGCCCATCATTTCATGTAAAACAGATAAAAACTTTCCCATAGGTAGGTTAGTTAGCATCAGAGCAGGGCACTACTGTCATGCAATCAGCTATAGAGCAAGGAAATATCTCTTAGAAAAATAAAACCAGAGAACCACAAGAACTTAACTGGACGCAGAAAGGTGTTACGACTGTAGCCCAGTATATTATATGTAACTAGCAGATAATATGCAAGGAAGAAGTATGGAACACATGAATCAACACACATGGCAAAGAAACTTAAAAAGGAAATTCGGAGCAAACAGTAATCAGAAAGTGACAGAGTTGCCAGAAATGATATTTTAACAAGCAAGGTGAATCAAGAAAAAGTGATTTACAAACAAGTATACCAACCTGAATCTCTCTTGGAAAAGTAGCACTAAACAACAGTGTCTGTCTAACTCCACGTGGAGGCATGTCCATTTGTTCAACAATCTTTCTAATTTGTGGTTCAAAACCCATGTCCAGCATCCTATCGGCCTCATCAAGAGCTAAAAATCTAATCATCTGCATTGAGACTCTAGCTCTCTCGAGCAGATCATTTAATCGACCAGGAGTTGCCACAAGAATATCAACTCCCCTCTCAAGTTCCCGGAGCTGCAGAACCAACAAAACATGAGATCAACAACTTGACGTTTGAAAACAGATTAAGAGTTACGACATACATCAGCGAAACTTCTGCATGTCATATATAAATAAATCCTTCTCACGTAGAAAAACGTGTTTCCAAATAAGGTCAGACCAAGACAACGCTTGCAAAACCCAAACAATAAGTCTAAGACGGACATATGAAGCAAAATTCAGAAGCCATAAGCAGAAATGCAGAAAAGAACATTCGTGAACGCTAATATACCTGCAGGTGAACAGGTGTTCCTCCATAAGCAACAACAACCTTCACACCGGTTTGGTAAGAGAACTTTTTAGCCTCATCATGTATCTGCCAAAAAACACAGAATGAATATATGAGAAACTGAGAAACTGACTTTTATGAAAGCGAATAGAATCCTGAAGTTGGAGGAGAACACCAACCTGACTTGCCAACTCCCTTGTTGGCGAGAGAATGACTGCAAGAGGGTATACAGTCCGTGAACCACGGGGTCTCTGTACAACATGCTGATCTTTCATTATTCCACTAATTATTGGAAAGCAAAAAGCAGCCGTCTTCCCAGACCCCGTCTGAGCACAGGCCATCAAATCCCTCCCTCCAAGCAATATCGGGATCGCGTGACGCTGTACAGGTGTCGGCTTAACGTACTTGCACCTCCGGATGTTCAGATTCAACGCCTCCCCGAGATCAATCTCCGCAAATGTGTTAACAGGAGGAGGCACATTATCCCCACTGGTCTCAATCGGAATATCTTCATAGGCATCAAAGTTAATAACCGTATTATCCTGCTCAGTGAAGGCTGGTTCTGGTTCATCATCATCATTATCAAAGGGATTTACTTCACGTTCCCTACGGTCCCAGCCTCCGCTTCTGTTATTCCAACCACCACCACCTCCTCGTCCACCTTGGCCATATCCAGGACGACCTGCATCAGCCCTATAACCACCACCAGCAGCACCAGCAGGACCACCACTAGCAGCAGCAGCACCCCAACGAGAGGCGGAAGGTGGACCGTTATAGCCAACACGATCATTTACCGGCAATGGAGCAACAGGCTCGGAAGCTGCTGGCTTGTTTCTTAGATGTGGAGGAACGTAAGCAGGTCGTGAGGGATGAGAATTCTGACTTGTAGACCCAGAGCCTGTGTTCTCTGAGTCAGCCACATCAGCCCATGATGCACTCATAATTGAAATGTGTGACGTCCTATAACAAAAAAACTAGCTTGCACTAAATCCTTCGATACGAAACTGCCCCTTTTACTTTACTTTTCTATAATCGAATACGAAAATTCCTGGAAAAATCAGAAGATGGGTTCCAGTTAGAACAATTTCAATCCGCGAGCGAAATTGATAGGAAACTGAGAACTATAAATAAACGAAGACCCATAAAACTCAAAAAGCTATAAACAAACCCAGATATCTTAATCGAACCCACAGACGAATTCAAAAGCAAAAAGCAAAAGTTCAGTCTTCGGAGAATAGCATAATCCAACGAGGAACGAATATAACAACGCAAATGCCAACAGAATCACGCAAACAGGAGAACAATGTTAACGGAGAGAAATTGCAAAGAGCATATAACCCTAGCTACAACTCGAAATCAAATAGCATCTGCGGAAACTGGGTAGGAGAATCCGAGAAACGAATCTATGATAAATCAACGGTAAAGGCTTGGGGAAACGAAAAACCCTAAAATTCGTTTGAGGTTACCTTTTGGGATCGGACACAGAAGGCGTGAAAATAGATACGTATTGCTCAGAGCGATAGAATCAATAGAGAGAAGGAAAAGAGAGGTCGAGATTTTTATTGACTTTTGTTGTTGTTGTTCCTCTTCTTATAAATTTCCTCGCAGATTGCGTGCCGTTTTCTATTAAACCTCCGTCTAATTAGATTATACCCAGTTTTCCAACTTGCGTGTCGGTTTGGCTTTATCCCACTGGATTGTATGTCGGCGATCCAATTTGGACTTCTTAAAATATATCACCAGAAAATATTTGAGTTTGATCCCTACAGTTTTTACTATTTCACTAAATGATCAAATTTCACATTGAAAAACAGTCGAGTAAATTTTTGTAATTTCATTCAACAAAATGATAGAGATTCAAAGTAAGACCATTCATCATCACTTGTCAACAAACATCTTCTCTGATTCCATTTGGCCAAAAAACCTGCCTGCGATGGTGATGAGCATATTTGCCATGACGATGACTTGTTCATCTTCAACCTCTGACGCACGAAGACTCGCACACTTCCTCAGAAGAGCCCTGAGACAACCACAAGTATCAGCATCCAAAGGAGTGTCCACTGCTGCACACAACGCTACAACCCATTTGAAGTCACTGCTCTGCAAGCCGCTCTCCTTCTCAACCAAACCTATACGCTTTTTCAGCCTTGAGACACGCGTCACCGAGTCCATTCCTTGTATCTCTGAAACCACTCCACCGAATGACTCATCCATCTCTGTGTGGAGACGCTTACTGAATACCTCCATGAGCACATCTTCTACACAAGGACTCGTCATCATCTCATCCTCGCAGCTCTCGTTGGCATCTGGAGATAAAGCCTGTAAAAAAACACATAGACACTTAGCTTCATTTCTTGTCCACTAAGAGAAACAGTGAGAGTATACGAAAAGTACCAATCGAAGGTTTAAGAAGTCGGAAAGCAGCGAGTCCTCCCATTCCTTCACTGGCAACAAGTGCTCTGGGCATTTGTGGATTTCAGGGATTTGTGGCATGTAAACACTCTGTTCTTGCTTCTTGGTCTCATCTATCTTGGCTATTATAACATTTGGAACTCGCTTAGCCTCCCACCTAAAGAAAATGCGGAAACAACTTAAGCATACATGCTAAAAAATGCAGATACACAGAAAGATGGGAACAAAGAGACAAACATACCTGACTCGTCTTAAGTATTCAAACCCATCTTCTGGCTCTCCAGAATCAAAATCAGGTTCTCCATCCACCGCAAACGCGGGTCTCAAAATGCTAGTGTAATCGTCATGCTCTTCAGTGTACTCCTCTTCTTCAAGAGTTAAGTCATCCATTCCTTTTTTGGTGCCTATATTTTCTCATGACGCCAAAAAAGAGTCAAATTTGGAATTTCACTGTGATTTATTTGTAAGTAAAAAAAAAAAATTGAACTTGTGTAGAAACATATATGAACCAAGGCCAGTAAAAAGAAATAGATTTCGAAAGTTTTGATTTTATTGATGATGTATGAACATGTACAATGTTAGCCACAGAACCATGGCCTATACACTCTAAAATCAAAGAATCTCTCTCTATACCCTTTTTAGGTTTTACACTCTGAATCAAAGAATCTCTCTATGACCTTTTTACAATCTAAACCAAAGAATCTATATACAGAAAGAATATATGAGGTGTCAGCTCATGCTAAGCGAACAAAGGACTTTGTGTTTTGTGTCTAAGAAAAGAGAAAACTGGTGAACAAAGGACTTTTGACAGATTTCTTCCGCTCACGGCTCAATGTACAAAGACATTCACACGGTTTCATCTTGGTACAGCCGAAATGGGACCTGTGGCAAAAGAAATCAAAAGGCCCCTATCAAAACGACATCTTACTAGAACCAAGGAGAGAAGGGATAAATGAAGAACAGATCTTGAAGCAACAGACTATCAAAACCGTCATAGGCAAGACTAGAGAGGCTTAACACTCGTTTGAGTGGTTTAAAAAGAGATACTTGGGAACAACCATTGCTGAAACAGGACTCACAGGACACTAAACCTAACTGGATTTGCTTGTGATGACCCATTCGAGAAGGAAAACACCATAAACCATTTTAGGCAAAGAAAAGCTCATTTGAGTATAAGCGAGGTGGAGAGGCACACACACAAAGATGCATCAGATACAGCCTAGGGTGAGATGCATGAGCTAAAGTTTGATAACATTTTCCTTAAACCTAAAGTTTTTATCAACATATTCAACCAAGAACAGGCAAAACACACAAAAATGCAGCAAGCAAGATAAAAGCAAAGTAAGAGGAGGGTTACCGAGAATACCGATGCCACTCTCTCTCGGATTAGACTTTGAAGTCTTGTGATTCTTCAAGCTAGCCAAACCTTCGTACTCATTCACAAGCTCAGGCAATAGCGTAGCATACATGTCACTCCACAGTTTCTTCTGATTCGCAATCTGAGCATACCTCATCGACTCCATTTGCTTTCTAGAGTACATAATCCGCACACTCGCTTCTCCACGGTTCTCAAATCCAGAGACTTTGGTTGACGCATCAGAAGCGTTTCCCTTATCTTGCTTCCCACCAACTGGCTTCTCTCCGATTTTCTTATGCTTTCTTGGTGCATCTTTCTCAGTGTTTGCAGTTCCTGGCCTCTTAGGATGATCTTTACCCTTCTTGTAGAAAGGCACAACATTGAGCAACGCAGTATCATCAACCAAATCGATCTTCATAGATCTCCCAACAAAAGCATTGTCCTTCACTATCACTCTCTCCGTCTTCTCATGCTGCTCTTTAGACCCATTTCCATTCTTGACGATCTCGTGAGTGTTAGCGAGCATGCCCTCATCGGCCTTCTTCCCGAAAATCGTCCCAATTTCGATCTCAGCCAACAATCTTCTCTTCTCCGCCTCCAAATGTCTCTGAGCATCAGAATCTTGTGCCTTCTTCTCCGAATTCAAACTTTCTTTCACATCAGGGACAATTTGAATCTCAGAGGTAGAAAAAACGCACCCATCAGTGTCAACAGCTTCTTCCTCCATCTTGTGCACATCATCTCCAAATTGATCGCCTTTTGTAGAAATCTCAGAGATGTTTGCATCGTATGTCTCCTTAATCAGCTGCAGCTCCTCACCAATCCTTTTCTCTTCAAGAAACGTTGAGCCAGGACAATCCACATCCATCGCTTCGGGTTCTTTGGAAAGCAACGAGCTCGATTCCGAGAAAGAAACTTCAACAGAATCCGAATGGGTAATTTCTCCATCTTTCTCAGAAACAGAAGCACAAGACGAAGACTTCACTTGCTTCTCTGGGCTTTTCTCTCCAACAGAGTCGCTCTTTAGTGACGGCAAAGAGACGATCTTCAGCGAGTCTTCTGCAGATTCATCCCGAGAAATCGAATTCTTCTCCGCCCCAATACATTCACCGGAATCAGATCTCGTCGCCATCACGGAAAGTTAGAGAGAGAGAGAGAGGGAGAGAGAGAGAGAGCAACTGCAACTCTAAACCCTTACTGAAGAATATGTATAGGCAAGGAAGACGAAGAGCTTCTTCTCGAAACAATTAAACCGGTAAATTTTCGGAAGACTTCAACCGATTCGAACCGGTGACGGTTTCTAAAAAGAATCAAAACCAATAATTAAATCAATTGGGGTTATTATGGTAATTATCTGAGGATACAGCTCGAAAGCTACACAAACCACTCGCCTCTCTTCTCACGCGCCATCCCAAATTCGATCTTCTTTCACTGCACACAAAGCGAGAGACAGAGAGAGAAAGAGAGAAAGTGGGAGGAAAAAAGCGAAGAGTACGCCGATTCCATCCAATTTAGGGTTCAGGATTCCCCTAATTTGGAAGCCTAGTCCTGGTTCCTGATCTGTTTCCCGGATCGGACGAGAGGAAAGAGGACGAAGAACGAGTTAACGAAAATGGGCGCGAATTCTATACCGATTGACGCAACCATTGATCTCGATGAGCAGATCTCGCAGCTCATGCAGTGCAAGCCCCTCTCGGAGCAACAGGTGCCTGCCACTTCCTCCTTATACGTTCTCCCTGCTTTGTTGTTATGGACTTGGGTTGTATCGATGATTGGATCTGGTTTTTGTTTCGATTCGAATGTTGTTTTTGTTTCTCTGTTTGAGTTTCTTCCTGGTATGAGATTATCGGATTTGATTTGGAGATTTTCGATTTTGTGGAAATGAAGATCTTCCGGGAAATGTTAGATTTTGACGTTTGTGTTTGTTCTCACGGGTGTTCATATCTACCGCAGTTTTATGGGTTGGAGAATTGGCTTTGCTTCTATGATTTGATAATGAATTTTTGCTGCATAGAGTGATTAACCACATTTGAGCTCGTGCTTTTACGTTCCTGGTAATGTGGGTTCCTCTGATAATCGGGATTCTCCTGGATGGCATTAGCGTTTGTTGCTGTGCACATGTGATTTGATATAGATGATAAAATTTTGAACTTTTCAGTTAGCTGCATCACTGGCTTTTTCAATTAGGGACCTTTAGTATCTCATGTCAGGCAAAAAGAACAGAAAGTAATAGGAAGACAATTCTTGCTGGTGTGAGAGCTATTTTAACTCAATTAAGGACCTTTAGAAGCTGATATCAGCCAAAAACCTGATCAATACTTGCAGGGATTTTTTTGTGATTGATTTTCCTGTTTGTTGTATGTGCCAAGTAGATTTCTGAGACCATACAATTTCGATAGATGTGTTTAATAGTGATTATTACTGGTAATCTCTTTAGGAAGTTTTTTTTTTATCAACTAAACAGTTGAATATCGTATGAATTGTTGTCTTATTTCCTTTAGGTTAGAACATTATGCGAGAAAGCCAAGGAGATCTTAATGGATGAAAGCAACGTTCAGGTTAGTTCTTGGTCTTCTAGTAGACTGTGCTACTAGTCATGAATTCATTCTACAACCACGTTCGTTTTTATTTGTTCCAAGGAAAGTCATTCTTTACTCTTTCCTTCATGCAGCCTGTGAAAAGCCCTGTGACAATCTGCGGTGATATTCATGGACAGTTCCATGATCTTGCGGAGCTTTTCCGCATTGGAGGAATGGTAACATCTCTAAAACTTACTGAGAAGCATGCATCTTGTATAATCAGTTACCCTTTCGTGCATTTGGCTCTGGTTCTGATTTCTGTTCATCCATGTATACATAGTATCTACAAATCTTACAAATTTTCATTTTCTCTCTTATGCAGTGTCCTGACACCAATTACCTGTTTATGGGAGATTATGTTGACCGTGGTTATTACTCTGTTGAAACTGTTACGGTACGTGGATGATATATGCAGACCTTTTTTTCCACTTAAGAGTAGTCTGATTAATCGGCAGCCAGTCCTTATCTTTTTATATGGCTAAATGATATCTACTGTTTGCTTGCTGGATGTTTTTGCTCTACAATGTTAATATTGAGTGTCGGAATATGAAGTACGTTGATACAGTTTCTCCTTTTTATCCTCCTTCCAGCTGTTAGTCGCCTTAAAGATGCGATATCCTCAGCGAATCACCATTCTTAGAGGAAACCATGAGAGTCGTCAGGTAGACCTATGCATTATGATATTATCATGGTTGGCACACATTTTTTCCTAATAAATTTTGTTCTTGTCTACAGCATACATTTTGTGCACATTAGTGTGTTGGTTAGTACTTTTCTGCCATCCTACTTTTTTATCTGACGCAGGGTTTCCTTCTTTTTCTTCTGTCTGGCAGATCACTCAGGTCTATGGATTTTATGATGAATGTCTGCGAAAGTGAGTCCTCTGAAAAACTCTTATTTTGTAGATGCTGATAATTGCATGCATGTAATTTGTATCATCATTAGCATTACTCTTGTCCTCTCTTTTTTTTTTGCGGTTGCTACATGTTTTTGGGTGTGGTAGTATGTCAAATTGTCTTTTATGTTATTAATCCTTCAAGCTTCTGATTACTTGCTTATCACATTGCTCTTGTATTGTATTCTCTGACACATCCGAGTTTGAAGCTTATCATTTCTCTACCTAGAATTGCATTTGATTATTTGGGTTGTAGATTTTGCAACTTGTCTATCAAAGTTTGCTTTTCTTGCAGGTATGGAAACGCAAATGTTTGGAAAATCTTCACAGACCTCTTCGACTATTTCCCATTGACAGCCTTGGTTAGTCTCTATCATGTTTCACATCTTTCTTCCTCTTTAATTATGTTGGGGTTCACATGAGCATTAAGTTCTGTAGTCTTTTAATATACGTGCTCAGTAGTAGGTCCTTCTTTGTTTTGTGCTGGCAATATCCTTTTGAACTACAGAATTACTTTTGTATTGTGCTTTCATATTTCTTTTGCTGGTGTCACATCAATTGGAAGACGTTAGTATTCTGAAAAAAATGCAAAGAACGGAAGATCTTATATACATGGAAATGTGTTTTCTACACATTTCTTTGTTATCATTAAATCATCATGCTATTCCATTGCAGGTTGAGTCGGAAATATTTTGCCTTCATGGTGGACTGTCTCCATCAATCGAGACCCTTGACAACATAAGGAATTTTGATCGAGTTCAAGAAGTGCCCCATGAGGGGCCGATGTGTGATTTATTGTGGTCTGACCCTGATGACCGTTGTGGTTGGGGCATCTCTCCTCGTGGTGCCGGATATACATTTGGTCAGGTAAATTACAAGTCTCGGAACGGCCCTGAAGCTCTTCTGCTCTCTCCTTTGAAATGAAGTGCCTAATTGACTCTTTTCATTTGTGTTTCCATAGGATATATCCGAACAGTTCAACCACACAAACAACTTGAAGCTGATTGCCAGAGCCCATCAGCTGGTTATGGATGGATACAACTGGGCTCATGTAATATTTCAACTTACCCCTTCTCTGTGTTCCTTCCATAGCTTTGCGAGGCTTAAGATTCCTTGCTCACTATTATACTTTTTTTTTTTGCGTTCCCGTTGACAGGAGCAAAAAGTGGTAACTATCTTCAGTGCACCAAACTATTGCTACCGTTGTGGGAACATGGCTTCGATTCTTGAGGTTGATGACTGCAGGAACCACACCTTCATTCAGGTCTTGCCTCAAAACCCATATGTCTTGCCTAATAACGAAATTAGTGTAGAAAGAGAAAATGCTAACTTGACAAAAAAACTGTGATTGCAGTTTGATCCAGCACCGAGGAGAGGAGAACCAGACGTGACTCGAAGAACTCCAGACTATTTCCTGTGATCTCACTAGACAGACTCGATCTCAGCAGCTGCAGCGACTGGAGAGTCACAGTTGGTAACTCAAGGAATCTGGTTTCTATGCATTGTGTTTTAAGTTCAACTTAGTCCAACCACCGGAATATAGTTGTGTATTATAGGCGAAGAAGGCCCTCTCTTATCTTCCTCTATAACCAAGAAAACAAAAACAGAGGTCAATGGATTCTGCAATACTCATCATGCACATTGTTTGGTTGATGTTATTAGCTTCTTTTTCTTCTTCTTTCTGCATCAGAATGTCTTATTTTCTTATTTTTCTTTGTGAGAGATCTTTTTAACTTTATTTCTTGTAATTCTTCTCTCAGATCTTGGTATTTTAGTTAACAAATCCAATGAAGCTTTTGATTAGAACTTTGAAGTTTTTTTTGTTTTTAAATCTTTTGATATAACACCAAGGTATTTAATGAGTTCTATTACTCAGCCTCTTAAAACGCTAACTTGAAGATGCGACTAGCTAGGGGTTTACTTGCTCTTCACGGGAGCTCATGAATCGGCTTTTAGGAACTTCAAGGCCATTGGAGAGTGTTTTGCTGATGAGTTTATCTAACAGGTAACAAGATTGATACTTGTTTGGCTTCTGCGTTGGGTTTCTAACTTTTAACAGTTTCCTTTGGTTGTGTTCTCCTATTCATTAAACTTCGCTTCAAGACCCTTTTAAAAACCTCACAACACATACACAATAAACTAGCGAATAGTAAAAAGCTTACTAAAAATGTTACGTAGGCATTCTATTGATATTCTCAACATTTTGCTTTTTAAAACAAACTGGTAGTTCAAGGAGACCCGTTAGAGGTTAGAGAAGAAACAAAACAAACTCGAAGGCGACAAGACAAGTTACTTCAATAAGTGCATAGACATGACGTGTTTCACACTGAAGAGATTTTCATTATAAAATGTGGATACATAAAAGTATTATGGAGTATGACAATTTCTGTCGTCATGGACGGATTCATATTCCTTTTTAAAATAAGGATTCTCGAAAAATTGTGAGCCTCGTAATTCGACTAATCGTAGTAGACAGCGGTTTTTGGCTGGTCAAGACTGCATGGATTGTGCGGTCCACTTCACGATCAATTGATATATCCAAAATTGCAACTGTATATATTATTTTGATATACCATTCAGTTTGTTTTATTCAAATGGTTGCATAGCCAGAGGAATAAAAGTGGGTGAATAAAACCACTCTTCTAGATTTTCATTATCTACAGGGGAAAGTATTAAAAAAGTAGTTTCACTCATTCCACAAAAAAACTAAAAAGATGAACAAATTTCGTTTTCCTTTTAAGAATTCTAGATTTTTTTTTTTGATAAAGATGAAATTTAGAAATATTTATACAGTTTTAATACCCTCATTCATGTGATCAAAGGTTATTATTTTCTTCGTCATCGCTTGGCAAGAGAAACACGTCAATTTGAGTTATCTTGAAAAAGGATTTCAAATTTGAGTTAGTAAGATTTCTTTTTGTGGAATTCATGTTTTGTTACTCCCCCATTATGCTTATTTTCTTAAATACATTTTCTAATAACAACATAACCCTTACATAGAAATTACGTGTATAATTTTGGTGAAACACGTCATACTTCAAATAACAAAAGATTTCTTTAACAAAAAAAAAAACAAAAGATTTCTTTCTTTTTTTGTTCAATCCGTTTTTGTTTTATTTTTCTATGTTTCTATCTTGTTAAAATATATTTTCCAGTAATGTCATAATGTTAATCCAATATATATTCCTTTCTTCATATTTTTTATTCTTTCTTTATTTTACTTTTTATTTCCGATTTTGTCAGTTTTTAATGAAATAAACTAAAAATAATATCAAACATGTTTATAACTCACCCTGTTAGTAGCTGTCAAGACGACACGCATGGTAAATATTTTTTTGTTAAAACTCTATATAGTAGCAATTCAAAAGCTGTCAATAAAAAAAAAGAAATAATTGCAATTTGATAAGCTCATGAACTGTATTGCATCCACGTCTGCTATCCAAGTTGGATTTCTTTTTATACTTTTTGAAAAAACAAAGTTGATAATTGCTTGTTGTCCCTTATAAATACTGTACATACTTGTTAGTGTAGAGCCCACAAATAGGCTTTGGCCGCTTCTGCTTGGACTCAAGCCACAACAAAATCAAACTCTCAAAAAAAACAAATTAGAAATAGCGATTGAAATCTGTTCATTTCCTCCACCACCACGGGAAAGTTACGATCACGGAGAGCCTGAGAACTCAGATCCGGCGACGAATCCACCGTCCGACGAAGTCATTTCCGAACTCGGAGCTCAAGTCGAGAGCTGTGATCGGAGAATCTGCTCGGAGCTGCTTCTTTCTTTTCGGAAACCGAGAGTGGTGGAGAGAAGGGGGAAGATCAAGCGACGGATAGTGATAGGTTTTGCTGTATGTCAGTAGATTGTGTTGAGACTTATTTTGGTGGATTTGGCGAACTCGTGAACCCTATTCAATGGCCTCAACTTCGAAAAAGGCGACGGCATGTGCTCACCACGGAGGCTCTGCTCCGCCTCCCAAACTCGTCTCCGCCGTTGCCAATACCGTTACTGGATGGACCATCGGGAGCTCCGACGGCGATGATCAGCGAGCCTCTAAGGTTTCTCTCGAATCCGTAATCCGCCCTGTCGATTCGCTCCCTGACACGGCCAAGAAACCTGCCAACAAAGGTAACTGCAACTTTTCCGAGTTTAATGAATCTTATTGATTGTTGATCATTGATCATTTTTCTGATCTTAGATGAGTTATCGATCACTGGAATTGTTTGATGATGGTTACTTTTTGTGAGATTGGTTGTTGTGCGGTGCTCTATATGTTTCTGATCTTAGATGAGTTCTTGATCACTGATTCACTGGTATCTACAATTGTTCATGATCTCTATTGTACAATGCAGGAATTTCTATCATGCCAAGGACGGAAACCAAGCACCCACTGGATCCTCTATCTGCTGCAGAGATATCAGTTGCCGTAGCTACTGTTCGTGCGGCTGGTGCCAACCCCGAGGTGCGAAAACTCTGTGCTTGCTCTGAAGCATTCTTGGATTCTTGGTGTTGAAAGATATGGATTTGACTGCAACTGTTTGTTTTTTTCTGTGGCAGGTGAGGGATAGTATGCGTTTTGTTGAGGTGGCTTCAGTGGAACCGGAGAAGCACGTTGTGGCGCTGGCGGATGCGTACTTCTTCCCTCCGTTCCAGCCATCATTGCTCCCAAGAAACAAAGCTGGACCTGTGATTCCTATGAAGCTCCCTCCAAGGCGAGCAAGACTCATTGTTTACAACAAAAAATCCAATGAGACAAGTGTATGGGTCGTGGAGTTATCTGAAGTTCATGCTGTAACTCGGGGTGGGCATCACAGGGGAAAAGTTGTTTCTTCTGAAGTTATACCTGATGTTCAGCCGCCCATGGTATGTTTTAAGGAAATGGATTTTAGATGGTACTGTTGTTGGCCAGTCTCTCATTTTAGACTGTTGTGGTTTTAGGATGCGCTTGAATATGCTGAATGTGAAGCGATTGTCAAAGACTTTCCCCCATTCATAGAGGCAATGAGGAGGAGAGGTATTGAAGACATGGATCTAGTAATGGTTGATCCCTGGTATGTTTAATAACATCTTGGTTTCTGCTAAAATTTCTCAATTAAGGTGGTACTTTTTCCCTGAGCCTGCGTCTTAATTTATTGTGCAGGTGCGTGGGCTATCATAGTGAAGCTGATGCTCCTAGTCGTAGGCTTGCGAAGCCCCTTATATACTGTCGGACTGATAGTGATTCCCCCATGGAAAATGGCTATGCTCGGCCAGTTGAGGGGATTTATGTACTTGTAGACATGCAAAACATGGTGGTGATTGAGTTTGAGGACCGTAAGTTTGTGCCGCTTCCCCCACCTGATCCTTTGAGGAACTATACCCCTGGTGAAAGTAGAGGGGGTGTTGATAGAAGTGATGTTAAACCTCTCCAGATTATTCAGCCTGAAGGTCCAAGTTTTCGTGTAAGGGGCTACTTTGTCGAGTGGCAGAAGGTACGTTTCCAGTAATAGACTAATTGAAACCATATGAGCTTAAGCTTATTTCTAAGTTGGCTCATCATTTTGTTTACAGTGGAACTTTCGTATTGGGTTCACTCCGAAGGAAGGTTTAGTCATACATTCGGTAGCATATGTTGATGGCAGTCGAGGTCGAAGGCCTGTTGCACATAGGCTTAGCTTTGTGGAGATGGTTGTGCCTTATGGTGATCCGAATGAGCCACATTACAGGAAAAATGCTTTTGATGCAGGGGAGGACGGCCTTGGAAAAAATGCACATTCGCTAAAGAAGGTTTGAAACCAGCTAATGTGTTATCAATGTATAATAATCAGTTATTGGGTTTGCGTTTAACAGTCAGGTTTTACAGGGTTGTGACTGTCTGGGATCTATCAAGTACTTTGATGCCCATTTCACAAATTTCACTGGAGGAGTTGAAACAATTGAGAACTGTGTATGCTTGCATGAAGAGGACCATGGGATTCTGTGGAAACATCAGGACTGGAGAACAGGATTAGCCGAAGTGCGAAGATCTAGGAGGCTTACTGTCTCTTTCTTGTGTACTGTTGCCAACTACGAGTATGGATTTTACTGGCACTTCTACCAGGTAAAAGGAAAACGTGATTAATCATTTCTAGAGTAAAGCAGATTTTAGTCATCTTTGCATCTAATTTCCTTAGGAAAGACAATGATATGTCTCTGCATGAGAATAAATCTTGAATTTAGAACGACAGCTCACGATTGTTTAGGCCTTAACACTCTGCTTGTGCTTGTTCAGTTGAGGACCAATATCATTGTATGTCTTACTGTAGGATGGGAAAATCGAAGCTGAAGTAAAACTGACCGGAATCCTCAGTTTAGGAGCGCTGCAGCCAGGAGAAACTCGAAAGTATGGTACTACTATCGCTCCTGGGTTGTACGCACCAGTGCATCAACATTTCTTTATCGCTCGCATGGATATGTCTGTCGACTGTAAACCTGGTGAAGCTTTCAATCAGGTACCTTCACTTTGCTGTTGGCTGTTAATTTGCATAGGTGGATTATTATCTCAGTTTCTAGGAATGCTATTGGTAACATATGAATTGTAGAAATGTCTAAAAGTCCTTGAAATGTTTTTTGAGATACATGTGGTTAGGTGATTTTGCTGAATAGTCAACTGAATGTACATTTACCTGTAGGTAGTGGAGGTGAATGTTAAAGTTGACGAGCCCGGTGAGAACAATATCCACAACAATGCGTTTTATGCGGAAGAGAAGTTACTTAGATCAGAGGCAGAGGCTACGCGTGACTGTGACCCTTTTTCTGCTCGCCATTGGATTGTAAGCCATCTGTACATTGCATCGATCTTGCAAACATTATTCTTAGTCTATTTCTCATCACTGTGTAATACTGTATGTTGTCAGGTAAGGAACACAAGGACAGTAAACAGGACGGGGCAATTAACGGGATACAAACTTGTGCCGGGCTCAAATTGTTTGCCGTTGGCCCGACCCGAGGCCAAGTTTCTAAGAAGAGCTGCTTTCCTGATGCATAACCTTTGGGTGACTCGTTATGCACCTGACGAGAAGTTCCCAGGAGGGGAGTTCCCAAACCAAAACCCACGTGCTGGTGAAGGTCTCGCCACGTGGGTGAAACAGAATCGCTCCTTGGAAGAATCTGATGTCGTTCTTTGGTATGCATCATCCTTCTCCTTCTTCTCACATAACACAATTACTTGTAGTTACCAAAATTTGTGATTGCAATGTGGAACTTTTCGTTTCACAGGTATGTCTTTGGGATCACGCATGTTCCTAGACTTGAAGATTGGCCGGTTATGCCCGTCGAACACATTGGTTTCACACTAATGGTAAGTCAAAATCTTTGTCTGTCACTTTGAATCAAGAAATCTCTTAGAAAAAAAAGAAGACAAGATTGGTTAAAATTGGTTTTCGGTTTTGACAGCCTCATGGATTTTTCAACTGCTCACCGGCCATAGATGTTCCACCGAATCCAGCATGCGAATTGGAGGCAAAGGACAGTGAGGTCAAAGAGGTTGTAGCACCAAAGCCTCTTCAGCCTGCTTTACTCTCTAAGCTTTGAACAAGACATATTCTTTTCCTTTTCTCTTTAAATTGGAGACGTTGATGTTGCTCAAATTTACTTTCGGATTGGAATCTTTTGTTGTTTGGTAATTGGTGTGTTGGTTGCAGACTAAAAGACCTGTGTCATTGGAATGTTATTTTTCTATTATTGTCATTTTGAAACTAAAAAGTGAATTGCCAATCGGGAACAATTTAGACTTTTCTTTGACATGGTGAAAGAGAGTAATGTTCTCAAGCTAATCCGAACAAATACGCTTAGAACATTTGTTACATCAATATTTGAAAATACTAAAATTCACCAAAAGTTAAGTGCGATAAACATATAACCAATTTTCGTAGTTTATAATTTCCGCTTTCCGCATTTATCGATGCCATTAAAAAAGGAAAAATTATAGCCTCGATTAAATTTTTCCCTTTTATTAAATTGTTTTATACTTACGTATATATAGTTTATGTAAGTTTTCTCTTTTGTGCTAGGGTTTTGATAAGTTTATCTTCTTTTATGCTTGTGTGCCTCTCTTTATAAGCAGAGGGCTCTTAATCTGTGAAATTATCAAACAGAATTGTCATATTTTCTTGTGTTTGAAGTAAGGAAATCTAAGAAGAGGGTTTTCGTCGGATATGTGGAACCAGAAGCCGAAGCCGACTTTCAGGTTTGAGATAGATAACTTCTCAGAGAAGGGATACAGTGCCATAGCGTCTCCGACATACGTGATTGACGGATGCGAATGGTAAAAGAATTGGAATGTTAATCTCTGTCTTTAAGAATAACGTACGTGTTCTGGAAGATTGATTTGTTCGGTAGAACGCACAGGTTTAATATATTCTTTTTTTATATATTTTTATTAGGGATCTATACGTTTGGAAGGGAAATCCTCTTGCTAGTAAGAACCTTCTTGTGAACCTGTACGTTCCAAATCATAAATCACTGGGCACGGGATGGAGAAGGACATGTAGTTTTTACTATGTTGCTTTGAACGAATCCGGCAAAGAGCTCCACAGATCATCTGGTATGAAAGCTATCTCCTCTTATCTGCGATTTTGAGCCACATAATATAGCATTCAAGGCGTAGTAGTTTTTCATAGGTGTTTGCAAGAATATTTGTGAGCTTGTTATATATAGGTCATACAACATGCAATATGCCTAAATTATAGTATCACTAGCTTTAGGGATATTGAAGTTATGTTTGAATCTTGAAGAGGCACATGTGACTAACTAAAGCATTGACATAATATTAATTTTTTTTTGGTCTTTTTTGTTTTTGTCTTATAGTTGATGTGAGAGTGTTTAGGGATAAGAATCCGGGCTATGGTTTCCAAAATTCCGTGCATGTTCCCAAGTTTTCCGAAAAAGAGTTGGAGAACGACAAACTCATCATTGAAGTCTACATTAAACTTGTTGAAGCTTTTGATGGCGAAGTCGGAGACGTAACTAAGAAGGAGGAGATTGTAAATATTAATGGTTTTCTAGTTCTTGCTTCTCAAGTAAGTTAAAAAGGATCTCATGTCTCTATTTCTTTTTTTGAATAACCCACTTGATTTTTCTTTTATTTTGGGTTAGCATAAACGTACATTTTCTTTGCAGGCTATTCAAGTGAGGAAGATATTCGCAGAGCACCCACACATTGCTTTAAATTTCAAATCAAAGAACCACGTGGTGAAAACAGAATACATGAATGTCCTCCTCGGCCTCATCGATACACTAAACAAGCCTCGGCATAGTCTCTCAAGGATGGAAATATGCAATGCTCACAGCAATTTGAGAGAGCTGATGGACGTAGGTTTCAAGCTGGAGTGGTTGAAGACAAAGCTTGGAGAGGGTTCCTTGGAGAGCAAGAAATCAGATGACCACGATGAGTCTCGGGTTCAACAACTTGAAGAACGCGTCAAGAATCTTGAGCTGATGGATATAGGAAGCTTGAAGTCCAAGCTTGAATTAGCACAAGTTGATGATTCTCGGGTCGAACAACTCGAGGAGAGCGTCAAACATCTTGAGCTGATTGTGTCGGATCTCAAAGCTGAACTAGACAAGGAGAAGGCAAAATCTTCTGATTGTGGATTTTTGTTAGTCGATTAGGTTGCTTGATGTAGTAATCAAGTTATTAGTTTTATAATTTTTCTTTAATAGACACTGCCCTCGTTTCCTTTATTTCGTTTTCTTGTTGCTCTCTCAAACATAATAGTCTTTATCTTTATAAAAAAAAACTTAATAGTCAAAAGAAATGGTTATGTAATGTTGATGGTCTTATTCTCCGGTTTATTAGCGCGTGCTGTTGTTAATTTTTTTGAAGAATAGATATGATTAGATTTGGTGAATTTGTTTGTTGCTTTTGATTTGTTTTATTTTTATCTTATGTAGGAAAAAAATTCAAAATCTCCGTGAAAATAGAGGTGCAGTATATATATTTTGTTCAATGTGAAAATTGATTTAAAAAATCAAATAACTACTGCAGTTTAACTATTATATAGTTTTAATAATGTAATAACAACTGGTTTCATTAAATGTCGATAAAAAGAAGTACAGTACTTGTTTTAATTAAATAATTAATTAAATCTGTTAATTTGCCTTTTGAGCTAGGGCTTTGATAAGTTTATCTTTTAGCCTCCTCCATAAATAGAGAGGGCTTGTTTATCAGAATCTCTGAGAATTCCGTCTTTTGCTTGAAGTAAGAAAAATCACGAAAGGGTTTAGGTCAGATATGTGGAATCAAGTACCGAGTTACAGGTTTGAGATAGATAACTGCTCGGAGAAGAAAGCTGTCTTTTTGTCTAAGACATTCTCGAGCGGCGGATATGAATGGTAAAACGAAAAGAATCTAATCTTTAGTATGCTTTATTAGACTCTCTTCTCTGTCTTGAAGAATAACGTGTTCTCGGAGATTTTAGTATTCTTTAATAAAGGATGTTTTAATCTTTTGTTTCATATTCTTTCAGGTGTCTCAAAGTTGATCCCAGGGGAGATCGTAGTGCTGATAATCAGCTGTCTTGTTTCCTATGCGTTGTAGATAGTCAATCATTGCCAAGTGGATGGAAAAAGAGTGCCAAATTTTACTTCGTTGGTCTGAATGGATCCAACAAAGCGCTCTTCAGATCACCAGGTAATGAAGTCTCTTCTCTGATTAGCTTGTTTAGGAACACAATAATATAATCTCTGTTGTTTCTGCAGTAGGCCTAAACTCATGTTTAAATCTCGAAGAGTAGCAACTATACACACGAATGTTAATTATTTATGAGATAAGCTTAACTTATAATTTGTTTTTATTTTTATTTTTGGTTTATGTTTCACAGGTGGTGTAGGTGTAGCAAGCAATTTGTTTTGCGCTGAAACTCCAAGCTGGGGTTATTTAAAACTCTTGCCTTCTAGCAAGTTTCAGGAAAGAGAGTTTTTGGAGAAGGACAGACTCATCATTGAAGTCTACATTGATGGAGAAGAAGAAGAAGACGTATCCGAGAAGAAGAAGGCAACCAATGTCAATGGTTTTCTAATTCTTGCTTCTCAAGTAAGTTAATAGGATCTGTTTTTTTATGAATAACCACTTTCTTTATAGGGTTCTTTGATAAACATACTTTTCTTTGGCAGGTTACTTCCGCGAGGAAACTATTCTTAGAGCACCCAGACATTGCGGAAGATTTCAAACCAAGGAACCAAGCTGTGAAGGCAGCATACATGAAAGTCCTTCTCAGCCTCATTGAAAAACTTCAGAGGGCTCCAAAGAGTCTTTCAGAGACTAAACTGAGTCAGGCTCGCAGCGAGCTGAGTGAGCTTAAGGACGTTGGTTTTAAGCTGGATTGGCTGGAGTTAGAGCTTGAGGAGATTTCTTCGGAGAAGAAGAAAGCAGATGCTGATGAGTCTCGGATCAAACAACTTGAGGAACGAGTCAAGAATCTTGAGCTCGATGATGTTTCCGTGGAGTGGAAGAAATCAGATGATGCTGCCAAAGAACTCGACGAACGGATCAAGAATTTTGAGCTGATGGGATTGGGATTCCAGCTTGACTCTTTGAACACTAAGCTTGATGATGTTTCTGTGGAGTGGAAGAAATCAGAAAAGGCTATGGCCGTCCAGCTTGACTCTTTGAATAGTAAGTTTGATGATGTTTCCATGGAGAGGAAGAAATCAGAAAAGGCTAATGAGGCTATGGCCTTGAAGCTTGATTATTTGAATAGTAAGCTTGATGATGTTTATGTGAAGAGGAAGAATTCAGAAAAGCTTAATGAGGCTATGGCCTTGAAGCTTGACTCTTTGAATAGTAAGCTTGATGATGTTTCCGTGGAGAGGAAGAAATCAGAAAAGGCTAATGAGGCTCTGGTCCAAGAACTCGACGAACGCATCAAGAATTTTGAGCTGATGGGATTGGGATTGCAGCTTGACACTTTGAAAACAAAGCTTGATGAGGTTTCCCTAGAGAGGAAGAAATCAGATGAAGCTGATAAGTCTCGAGTCCAACAACTTGAGGACCAGACTGTTGAGCTGATGGGATTGGGATTCCAGCTTGACTCTTTGAAAACAAAGCTTGATGAGGTTCCCCGGGAGATGAAGAAATCACGTGAAGCCGATAGGTCTCGAGTCCAACAACTTGAGGACCGACTCGAGAATCTTGAGGTGATGGATTTGGGATTTAAGATGGACTGTTTATATGAAAAGCTTGAGGAGGCTTCCTTGGAGAGAAAGAAATCAAGTGATGCTGAACGGTCTCGAGTCAAACAACTCGAGGAACATGTCAAGGATTTGGGACTCAAGTTGAACTGTTTGAATACAAAGTTTTATGAGGTTTCTTTGGAGAAGAAGAAATCTGATGATGTTGCTGGGTCGCGGGTCCAACAACTTGAGGAAAGCGTCAAGAATTTTGAGTTGATGGTGTCGTATCTCAAAGAGGAATTGGCCAAGAAGAAGGACAAGTCTTCTGATGATGATGGATTTTTGTTGGTTGATTGAGCTAGACATAGTTATTAGTTTATAGGTTTTATTTAGAGGACACTACTGTTTTCATTTTTTTCCCCGGTTTTATGTTTTCGTTGTTTTGAAGACACTACTAGTTTCAAATTAAAAATTTCTCGTTTTTCTGTTCTTTCTGAATCTAGTAGTTTAGAGATTCGGCTTAGTATATTGAATCGATCTGGAAAGAGCTTAAGAAAACACAGAGGCAGAAAATATTTACATGTATGATGATGACAAATCACAATCTCCAAATGCTTAATCCGAAGATTAAAATTTATTTATGTACGTTCTTTGAAATTTTGGCCTCTCCCTTTCGTTACGTAAATCGCGTTTGAATTTTTACCTTATTATTTGTTGGTGATGTTTCACATGTATGTCGATGTTACATAATATATCTACACACACGTCGTCTGTAAATGTAAAAAGTCGTGTTTGTTTTTTTTGGGTGAAAAATAAAAGTCTTTTTTTATTGTGAAGTTTGGATTTGTTCTCGCCTGCTCTCTATATATAAAGAAGTCTTTTATTTGTGAAAGTATTAGAAACAAGTCTTGCAAGAAAAGTCGTCTTTTCCTCAAAGCTTGTAGCAAACCACAAGAAAACGCTTTGAAGGGATATGGGGAGCCATAAGAAAACTAGTTTCACGTTTGAGATAAATAACTTCTGGAAGAAGGAATCTGTGGTAACATCTCGTATATTCGTTAGCGGCGGATGCAAATGGTAAAACGAGAAATCAAATCATTTATTTCAAGAGACAACAAGATATAATTAGTATGTTGTATGCCGCAGTAAAAAGAGGGTTTAGTAATTTGTACGTCTTTCTCAGGTATGCTGACGTTCGTCGCAAGGAATGCGGAATAGATCACTTGTCTGTGTACCTGAACGTTCCGGATACTAAATCACTGAGACCTGGATGGAAAAGGAGGGCTACTTATTGTTTCATTGTGCTGAATCAATCAGGCAAAGAGTTCAAAAGAAAATCTGGTAATTAATCTTCAATTATATGAACTTATATGTATATCCTATCGCTGAAGAAGAAATGTTAATATATCTCTTGTTGTTTCTTTATTACAGACTGCAAAGTGTTCTGCGACCAGTTCCCAGGATGGGGTTTTTCCAAAATGTTGCCTCTTAACAAGCTTAAAGAAGAAGGGTTTCTGGAGAATAACAAACTGATAATTAATGTAGAAGTGAAAGTAGTTGAAATTGTTCATGAAGCAGAGATAACTGGGAAAGAGATGTTTGATATCAAAGGTTTCAACGTTCTTTATACTCAGGTAAGCTAAAGGAGTATCCCAATTTGTATTATATTCTCTGATCAACACAACATGCAGACTCAAAATTCTCTTTATAGGTTAAAACCGTAACATTTATCTACCGTGCAGGCTAAGTCAGTGTCAAAGATTTTCAAGGAGCACCGAGATATTGCAGTAGATTTCAAACCAAAGAACCAATTGGTGAGGACAGCATACATGAATGTCCTCCTCAACCTTATTAAGATACTTAAGAAGCCTCCGGAAACCCTTTCAGAGTCTAAACTAACTAATGCTCGTAGCGACTTGAGCGAGCTAACAGAAGCAGGCTTTAAGCTAGATTGGTTAAAGAGAAAGCTTGAGGACGCTTGCTTGGAGAGGAAGAAAGTAGTTGCTGATGGGGCTCGGGTTCAAGAGCTGGAGGAACGCGTCAAAACTCTCAAAGTTGAACTGGACAACGAGAAGGCCAAGTCTTCTAAAGTAATGTCGTTGGAGCACAGCGAAAAGGCCAAGTCTTCTAAAGCAGTGTCAGGTCTCAAAGAGAAGGCCAAGTCTCTTAAAGTATTGTCGTTGGAGCAGACGGTGTCAGATCTCATAGTTGAACTGGATAACGAGAAGACCAAGTCTTCTAAAGTATTGTTGTTGGAGCAGACGGTCTTAGATCTTAAAGTTGAACTGGACAAGGAGAGATCAGCCAAATCTGGTACATCTAAAACTGTGTGGTTGATGGATGATGCTTGCTTTTGGAGGCATATGGGGATTCGGGAGAGGATGGCCGGTTACCGAAAACTAAAATGAGAAACATTTTCATTCTCCGTTTTCTCCTTCTCACTTTTACTTCATGCAAGTTTGATTATATATTTCCCAATTTCAAGAAAGCAAGAACTGGTTGATGTTTCCCTTCTGTGAGAGCCAGAATATATACAAACGTTTCTGTATAACAGAAGGATGAAAATATTTTACATATATGATGACAAATTACATTATTATCACAATCACCAAATTAAATACTTAAATATCTGTAGATCTGTTTATGAACATTCCTTTGAAAGAAACAAGAAGTTTCCTATGAATTTCTACTTATTTTTCGGTGATGTTATAATATCTATAACACATGTATGTGATGTCGATGTTAGTAATTAACATATCTACACACGTATGTCGATAGAAAACTTCCTTTTTTATTGTGGTTTTGTTCTCGCCTCTTCCCTATTAACCAAGAAGGCTTTAAATTTGAGAAACTACTAATAACAAGTTTTGCAAGACAATCGTCTTTTGGTCAAAGCCTGTAGCAAACCATAAGAAAACGTTTTGAAGAGATATGGGGAGTTATGAGAAGACGAGTTTCAGGTTTGAGATAGATAACTTCTGGAAGAAGAAATCTGCGGTGACATCTCGTATATTCGTAAGCGGCGGATGCAATTGGTAAAAAGAGAAATCAGATCTTTAACTTTGTTTCAAGATTCAACAAAAACTTTTTTTTTCTTGAGGATCCATGTATATAATTAGTCTGTTGTATGTTGCAGTACAAAAAAAAAAGGATTTAATAACTTGTATTTCTTAAATTCTCAGGTATGTTGAAGTTTGTCACAAGGGATACGGAATTGAAGATTACTTGTCTGTGTACCTCAACGTTCCGGATACTAAATCATTGAGACCTGGATGGAAAAGGAGGGCTAAGTATCGTTTCATTGTGCTGAATCAATCGGGCAAAGAGCTCAAAGGAGCATCTGGTAATTAACTTTTCTTCAACTATATATATCCATCTGGTAATTAACGTATATCTTGTTGTTGCTTTCTTACAGAAACATGCAGCTTGTTCTGCGGTCAGTTCCCAGGATGGGGTTATTCCAAATTGTTGCCTCTTAACAAGCTGAAAGAAGAAGGGTTTCTTGAGAAGAACAAACTGATAATTAAAGTCGAAGTAGAAGTTGTTGAACTTGTTCATGAAGCAGAGGTAACAGGGACGGAAATGTTATACATCAAAGGTTTCAACGTTCGTTATACTCAGGTTATAAGCTAAGGACTATCCCAATTTATATACTAATGTTTTTCTCTGATCAACACAAGATGAAGACTCAAAATACTATTTCTAGGTTAAAATAGTTGCATCTATCTCTCGTGCAGGCTAATTCAGTGTTAAACATTTTCGCGGAGCACCCGGATATTGCAGTAGATTTCAAACCAAAGAACCAAGTGGTGAAGACAGAATACATGAATGTCCTCCTCAGCCTCATTAAGACACTTAACAAGCCTGCAAAGGTCCTTTCAGAGACTAAACTAAGCGATGCTCGTAGCGAGTTTAGAGAGCTAACGGAAGCAGGGTTCAAGCTAGATTGGTTACAAAAAAAGTTTGAGGAGGTTTCCTTGGAGATGAAGAAAGTAGTTTCTCATGACGCTAGGGTTCAAGAGCTGGAGGAACGCATCACAAAACTCAAACTTGAGCTGGACAACGAGAAGATCAAGTCTTCTAAAGTGTTATCTTTGGAGCAGACAGTGTCAAAACTCAAAGTTGAACTGGACAATGAGAAGGCCAAGTCTTTCAAAGTATTGTCTTTGGAGCAGAGAGTGTCAAAACTCAAAGTTGAATTGGACAACGAGAAGGCCAAGTCTTCTAAAGTATTGTCTTTAGAGGAGGCAGTGTCAAAACTCAAAGTTGAATTGTACAACGAGAAGGCCAAGTCTTCTAAAGTATTGTCGTTGAAGTCGTCAGATCTCGAAGTTGAACTGGACAAGGAGAGATCAGCCAAATCTGGTACATCTAAAACTGTGTCGTTGATCGATGATGTTTGCTTTTGGAGGCATATGGGGATTCGGGAGAGGATGGCCGGTTACCGAAAACTAAAATGAGAAACATTTTCTTTACCTTTTCATTCTCTGTTTTCTCCTTTTCCCTTTTCCTTCATGCAAGTTTGAGTATAAATTTCCCAATTTCAAGAAGGCAAGAACTGGTTGATGTTTCCCTTTTGCTTTTTTTTATCTCTATGATTGTATTACACACGCACGCACAAGTATTCGATTATAAAACAGACAAACAAAATTAGCAAGTCTTTGATTCCCTCTCTTCTCACCAAATTAATGTAGAAAATTATTACATAAATGGGAAGAGGAGTGTGATAGAGAACTGCTGCAAAAAAAAAAAAAAAAAAAAGACTTTTCATCAAACAGTGCAAAATAAAATAAAACAACCGCAATTTAGGATTAATATGAAAAAAACAAAAGCTAAATAGTGATTTATGGAGGGTCTAGATATCCTATATCGATAAATACCACTAAACGCGCGACATCTGTTGTAAATTGTTATAATGTATATCTTTAGATTATGCAAATATTATTGTAAGGTCTCGTTTGCTGCACATAAGGGAAAAAAAAAAAAAAAACAATTTGTAAGGTCTTGTTTGACCTAGAAACGATATAAAGTTGTTGTGTTCTCACTTGGAAGCACTAAACCCTAAAATCGACAGAGAATTGTTGAGAAGATGGAGACGGAATCGAAGAAAGCTCTAAGTTGGCAGATAGACAACTTTTCCGAAAGGACCGATGGGATATATTCGGATCCTTTCTCAAGCGGCGGCTGCGAATGGTAAAACGAGAAGCATAAAGATCCTTAAATGTTTACACGAATCGTCTAGATACTTTTTTAAAAAATCTGAGGCTTCTCTTATAGGAATCTCCGTGTTTATCCCAAGGGAAATCTTGTGGACGATCACTTGTCTCTGTTCCTGTTCGTTGCGAATCCTGAATCATTGCTACCTGGATGGAGCAGACGAGCTAGTTATCGCTTTGTTTTGCTGGATCAATCTGGCAAAGTTCTCTTCAGAACATCTGGTAATGATATCATCATATCTTCAATCTCTGCGACTTTGGACTAGTGTGATTATATACAATATCTGATTTGATTAATAAGAAAAGGTGATGTATCTTTTTTTTTTTTTTTCTGTACTTACAGAAGCTTCCACATTGTTCAGCGCTGAGACTCCAAACTGGGGTTATCACAGAATGTTGCCTCATACCAAGCTTCTAGAAGAAGGGTTTCTGGAGAACAACAAACTAATCGTTGAAGTCTACATTAATGTAGTTGAAGTCATTCATGAAGGGAAATCAACTGCGAATGAGATTGTAACTGTCCATGGTTTTCAAGTTCTTAATTCTCAGGTAAGTCAAGGACACAAATGCAAACCAGCTTAGTTGGTTTTACAGCCTGGACTTTGGTTCTTGTCTTCTTCTTTTTTCTTTTTGGGTGTTTCCACTTAAGGAAATATAACTACATCTTCTTTTTATCATTGGTAGGCTAATTCAGTGAGCAGGATTTTCGCAGAGCACCAAGACGTTGCAGTAGGTATCAGATCAGATATAGCAGAGGTGAAGACAGCATATATGAATATTCTCCTCGGTCTCATCGAGACATTAGGCAAGCCACCTCAGAGCTTGTCTGAGACTGAGCTAAGCAACGCTGAGAGCGAGTTGAGCGAGCTAACAGAAGCTGGCTTCAAGCTGGATTGGTTGAAGTCAAAGCTTGAGGAGGTTACCTTGAATAGGAAGAAAGCACTTTCTGATCTCAAAGTTGAACTGGAAAACGAGAAGATTAAATCTGATGTTGATGCTGCTGCGGCTCCCAGAACTGCTTGGTTTGAGTTGAGAGATTTTTTAATGAAGAGATGCTTTTTATCTTGCTTCTCATTCTCAAACCACTAACTATGTTCTCTAGTGTAAGTTTAGGGAGTTCTCATTCAGATTGTTTTCCTTTTAAAGCGTTATGATCCCATGAACTTTAGCTTAGACATCACATAAAAGCATCGCTGGTGACGATGATTCGTTGTTTTAGTTCATATCATCAATTTTCTAGTTTCAGTAGTTTTGTTTTTGTTCGTTTCATTCCTTTGCCTTTTTCTTATCACTACTTCTTGGTTGATTATATCCCAAGAACTGATTGTTATACATGAGTATTCTTCAAACAAGTTTGAGTTCATAGTTTTTTTCATTATCTTCCGCGCTTTTATCATCGTCGTTGCCAAAAATTTGATATAACAAACGCATTCTCTTTGTCCTGAAACTCGATCATTCTCTGTTTCTGTCCTTTTTGCTATTCCTTAAACACATGTTTGATGAGTTAATCTGTTTTGGATTTGAAGATAAATTATAGTTACTAGGAAGATTAATTTTATTGTTAGCCGGTGGTAGATTTGGATTTGAAGATAACGATTATAATTTCATTTGTTTTAAGCTTTTGTTGTTCAACTAAATAACGTTAGATATGCGAATCTGGACGGGTTTTTTTTCTTTTTCTACCTCCTATATAAATTAAAGAAAAGGTAGTACTTATATAATTAACATCAATACATTATACCAAAACCCTAAAATCATTAGAACGATTAGGAAGACATGTGGAAGAAGTACACTTTGAAGATAAACAATTTTTCCCAAAGGAGTGCTCCAATACGGTCCTCTCTGATCATAGTTCCCTACTACACCAACTGGTAGAAAATAAAAATTAATTAAAGCTTTCAGGTTCTGATTACATATTTGGGATTTAAAGAAAATGAAAGCTTTGTTTTTAGAGGAATAATCATTGTTTTTTCTTTTTAGGTATGTTACCGTGTATCCCAAGGGAAACGGCATTGGTACACACATGTCTATGTACCTAGAAGTTGCGGATCCTCTCTCGCTGCCTCGAGGATGGAGCAGAGACGCAATTTTTCGCTTCCTTGTGGTGAACCAGTCGAGCGTTCTCTGCTCCAAAAGTTTAAGTAAAAAATATCTCTCTTCAAATTGTTTTTGTCTTCCTTACACTTTAGTATATATGATATTAATTTTCTTATTTATGTCACTATGCACAGAAACTAAGCATCACTTCAACGAGAAGAAGACAAACCGGGGCTTTAAAAAGGCATTGCGTCTTACAAAGCTTCACAACAGAGGATATCTGGTGGACGACAAACTCATCATTGAAGTTCATGTATTATGTTATGATGCTATTTGTTTTCATCCGACGAAGCCACTGCTCAATGAGAAGAAAAAGACGGTGTCTTTGTTAAAGCCGAACCTTGATGTGGTTTCCGTGGAGAAGAAGAAAGATATTGATGATGTCAATAGTTTTCAGTCTCAGGTAAATTAAGCAACTACTTTAAGAGGTATTAGTTAGTTAAGATTAGTTTTTTTCCTTCTTAATTTTTTCATAATGAAAAAAAAGTGCGCAAGATCTGTTCTTAGATTCTTTACATCCTTGTTGTTGGCATGCATCTTACTTCTGTGGGTCAGGTTTTGGCGGAGCACCCAGACATTGCAGTAGGCTTCAAACCAAAGAACCAAGTAGTGAAGACAGCATACATGACTGTCCTCTTTGACCTCATCGAGAAAGTAAATAAGCCTCCACATTGTCACTCCGAGACTGAGCTAAGCAACATTTACATCGAGTTGAGTGATCTAACGGAAGTAGGCTTCAAGCTAGACTGGTTGAAGTCGAAGCTTGATGAGGTTTCCTTGGAGAGGAAGAAATCAAATGCTGATAGTTTCAGGGCCCAACAACTGGAGGAACGGGTGAAGAATCTGGAGCTTATGTTTGCAGATCTCAAAGCTGAAGTGAAACAAGGAGAAGGCCAAATCTACAACTGATGAATTTTCTCATTTGAGATTGTTTGATGTTAAACTCTATTATATTTTGTTTGGAAAGTACTTCTAGACCTTTCCTTTTCTTTTGATGCTTTTGGTGTCCTAGAGACTCGGTTATGTTATTGCTTTAATTCTCTGTTTTGTCAGTATCACATTTTCTCGATAATATATTACGTTCATTGTGTTCCAATAGTGGTTGCTACGAAACAAAAGAAAAGGCACATTTAGCTCACTAGGTTTCTGTTAGAGCAGAAGAGATCCGATCACACAACGATTTCACCAAAATTTAGAGTTCTAATCAAACATTTGCAAAACAATATAAAATAATCGCAATTTAGGATACGAAAATGTCAGTTACCAAACAATTGAAAGGTTAATATGATACAAATTATCACGATTTGTAGAAGATTTCTAAAAATATTAATTCATGGAGGTCTAAATATTATATACATCGATAAATTCCACTACATGCGTGACATAAGTTAAAAATTGTTACACCGCCAAAAAAAAAAAGTTACAAATTGTTACAATGTGTTCTCTAGGTTTTGTAAATATTATTGACGGTTTCGTTTGACCTAGGATTTATAAAGTTCTATTTTCAAGTCCTATATATATAAAGTTTGTCTCTCGCTTGGAAGCACTAAACCCTAAAATCGTCAAAGCATTCTTATTGTCAAAGCATTCTTGAACAGATGAAGAAGGAATCGAAGAAAGCTGCTTTCAGCTGGCAGATAGACAACGTTTCCGAATGGAACGATGATAAGATATATTCGGATGAGATATATTCGGATTATTTCACAAGCGGCGGCTGCGAATGGTAAAACGATAAGAATATAGATCCTTAGATTTCTTACACGAGTCGTACGTCTTTGTTTAATCTGAGGTTTTTTTTTTCTTTCTCGTAGGCATCTTATTCTTTGCCCCAAGGGAAGTTTTGAGGATGATCACTTATCTCTGTATCTGTACGCTTCGTATCCTGAATCATTGCTACCTGGATGGAGAAGACGAGCTAATTATCGCTTTGTTTTGTTGCATCAATCTGGCAAAGTTCTCCTCAGAACAGCTGGTAATGATATGATCATATTCATATCTTCAGTTTTTTTTTTTTTTTTTAATCTGTATATCATATCTGATTGATTATGAAGAAAAATTGATATATGTTGATTTTTGTTTTTGTTTTTCTGCACTTACAGGAGATCAGAGATCCTTCAGCGATGAGGGCCCATGCTGGGGATATGACAGATTGTTGCCTCATGCTAAGCTTAAAGAAGAAGGTTTCCTGGAGAACGACAAACTGACCATTGAAGTCTACATTAATGTAGTTGAAGTTATTCATGAAGGGAACACAAATGCGAATGAGATGGCAACTGTCCATGATTTCGATGCTCTTTATTCTCACGTAAGTCAAGGAGCCACTGACTTTCTTTTTCTTTTTTGGTTCTCACAAAAAATGCAAAACCAGCTTAGTTGGTTTATACAGTCTGGATTTGGAGCTAGTTAGCATAATTACATCTTCTTTTTTAGCATTGGCAGGTTAATCCAGTGGGCGAGATGATCGCACAAGACCCATACGATATCATAGAGGTGATGCAGGCAGCATACACGAATATTCTTCTCGGCCTCATCGAGACACTGCGCAAGCCTCCTCAGAGCTTGACTGAGACTGAGCTAAGCAACGCTGACAGCGATTTGAAGGTTCTAACAGAAGCTGGCTTTAAGCTGGATTGGTTGAAGTCAAGGCTTGAGGAGGTTGCCTTGAAGAGAAAGAAAGAGGCTGCCGATCTCAAAGTTGAGAAGATCAACTCTGATGCTGATGCTGGTGCTGGTGCGGCTCCTAGAGTTGCTTCGTTGGGGTTCAGAGATTGTTTTATAAAGAGATTATTTTTGTCTTGCTTCTCATTGTCAAATCACTAACTATGTTTCTAGTGAAAGTTTAGGGTGTTCTCATTCAGATTTTTTTTCCTAAAGATGATTCCTTGTTTTAGTTTTTATCATCACTTTTCTAGTTTTAATTCATAGTTTTTTTTCCCCATTCTTTGCCTTGGTTTTCATCACTTCATCTTGTTTTATCATGTCACAAGAACTGGTTGTTGTTTAAAATATTCTTTTATAAATGTCTGCAAAAGTTCGGGGCTGAAACCGTATATTTCTGTTCACCGGTGACTAGATAGCAGTAAATAAGTCCATTCCTTCGGATCAGTCAACGACCAAATGAGCTACTTAAGCTTGGTAAAGATATGATGTTCGCGCGTGACATAATTACAAACGTCCAAACTCCTACGCATTCTCTTTATCCTTAGGCTCACTCTCTTTTATTTGTCCCTTTCAATTTTCCTTTAAAACGTGTTTTGAGATCATGTGTTGCATAAAACCAACGTTACAAACCCCACTGTGATTAGTTTTATCTCCTGCATTAAGATTAGGGTAAGTGAGTAATGTTCTCGATCCAGTGGTCCAATTGTACAATTTCCTACGGTAAACCCTAACGAAAGATGTATATGTTTATCACGCATATGAACAACATCTAGGACCTATTGGGATTTTTTGCTGGGAATATCAGAAAGTAGGGCATCTTTCTTTCCTCTCACTAAAAAAGGCCTGAGACAATGTGTGGTATATTTGAAATTGGCTTTACGGTACATTAGTCTCTTCCTTGTAAAGGTACCTTCCTTTACAAGTCTTCAGTTTTAAAGCAACTTTTTTTTCTCTAACATCTCAATCTCTATCTCAAGAATCCGAATAAAACTATCAAAACTATACAAGGCGTAATCGATTAATATTTAAAACAAAAAAAAAAGATATTTAAATAAATTATAGTTTTTTTTTTTGAAGATTATCTGTTCCACTAAATTTGGTTTGATCTAGGAATCTACAGAATTTGTTTTCCCTCTCCTATATAAAGAAGATTGGCTTACGTACGCGTGAATCAATATACTAACACCCTAAAAATTAACAGAGCGATTTTGAAGACATGGCCACGATGAAACCGCCGTGTTACACTGTGGAGATAAACAACTTCTCCCAAAGGAATGCTCCAGTATGGACGAATCTGTTCAGAAGCTACTCCTGCAACTGGTAAAAAACGAGAACTACAGTAGCTTTAGTTTTTTATTACTCGTTTTAGCTAGTACTCATAGTTTTGTTTAACTTTTCTAGGTATGTTACCGTGTATCCCAAGGGAAACGGTATTGATACACACTTGTCTCTGTACCTAGAAGTTGCAAATCCTCTCTCACTGTCTCAAGGATGGAGGAGATTTGCCACGTTTCGCTTCGTTGTGGTGAACCACTCTGACGTCGTCAAGGCCAAACGTCTAGGTTACCAATGAAAAACCCTATCGTTTAATTTCACAACTATGAAAAAACTAAAAATTCAAATTAATCGGTTTTCTTCAGGAATATATATATATATATATATATATATATATATAGAACTACATATTTACATGATCTTTTTCTGTTTTGGTTTCTATCTATCTACAGTAACTACTCAGACATTCTGGGAAAAAAGACCAAACTGGGGTTTCAAAAAGGCCTTGCGTCTTACCAAACTTCAAGAGAATGGATATCTTGTGGACGACAAACTCAAAATTGAAGTTTACATATCTGTCAGTGATGTCTGTGGTAGACTAGATTCACGTGTGTTACCCGAAAAGAAGAACGAGACAGTGTGTGTCAATGGCTTCCAAGTTCTTCATTCACAAGTAACGTCAGCAAATTGGATATTTGATACTTACCCAGAAACTGCTTTGTATATTCGACCACAAGATCCACAACTTAAGACAGCATACATGAACATTCTGCTCAGAATCTACGAGACACTCTATCACAGTTTTCTGGAGAAGCTCACCGATGCTGAGCTACGTAACCTTTCCAAGGGTTTGCTTGATCTGACACAAGCTGGTTTTAAGCTGGAATGGTTGAGGGAAAAGCTTGAGAAGGTTTCCGTGGAGAGGAAGAAACTCTTTGATTATGAAGCTCATGCTCTAGATCTTGAAAAAGAGTTGAAAATGTAGAGAAACCAGCACCGATAGTGCTTAGCACTAGCCCAAGACCGTAATACCCGAGAAACCCGAAAGAAACAATAAACCCTCTAAGTATGAAGAGAAATATGGAAGAACACAAGAGAATACTTGAAAGACTTTTAAGAAGAACAAGAGAGAACTTAGCTTTAGAACACTCTTTATTAACTTGTTCAATTTCTTGTGCATTTACAAATGAGGGGGTGAGGAGGTATTTATAGCCTCCCAAATCTACTTACAAAGTTTCTACACTCTTCTATAACCTCCTTAGGTCCTAGATATTTCTTCTTCTTCTTCTACAACTTTCTACAAATTATCTTACAAGTTTATCCTAATCTCTAGAACTCTCTAACATAATATCTAGATTTCTTGTCTTACAAGAACTAGAAAGTTCTACATAAATATCTAGAGAGTTATCTAGTAGAATTCTCTAGAAAATTTGAGGAAGTGATGACCTCTTATGATGTTTCTAGAGAGTTCTAGAACTTGGGCCTAATTTTGGGTTTAATAATAATTTGTTTATGGACCCAAAATTAAACCTTGATCAAAATCAAGTTTAATTTCAATACTCCCCCTTAAACTTGATTTTATCAACCATCCCGAGTTTCGAGCGAAGTAACTCGAACTGACCTTTTGGTAGTGACTTGGTGAAGATATCTGCAACATTATCCTCACTTCGAACCTCCAAAGCTTCAATTGTTCCATCAAGCACCTTCTCCCGTATGAAGTGATGTTCCAACTCAATATGCTTCGTCCTTGCATGGAACACCGGATTGTTAGCCAGCTTGATAGCACTTTGGTTATCTCCATATATGGCAACCGGCTTGTTGATTGGCTCAAACAAATCTTCAAGAAGCCTTCGAAGCCAAATACACTCTTGGGCTGCGAGCGTCGAAGCTTTATACTCCGCTTCAGTGGTAGACAGCGACACCGTTGCTTGTTTCTTGCTGCACCATGAAACGCTTGTGTCTCCACACAAGAACACAAAGCCCGAAGTTGATTTTCGACCATCTAGATCTCCACCAAAGTCAGCATCCGTGAAGCCATAGAGAGAGACCTTGGCATTGTACTTGTACATTAGACCCATGCCAAGAGTTGTCTTCACATACTTCAAGATCTTCTTTGCCGCTTCTAGATGTGGCTTCCTTGGTGACTGCATAAACCGACTTACAAGACCAACCGCGAAGGAAATGTCAGGTCTTGTAATGGTTAAGTATAGAAGACTTCCCACAAGAGAACGATAAGGCCGAGGATCGGGTAGCAAGGATCCTTCATCGCGCTTCAGCTTGATGTTCGCATCCATCGGAGTAGTACGTGTCTTTCCTTCGTGTACCCCGAACTTCTCTACAATCCTTCTTGCGTAGCTATGTTGGCCGATGAATATTCCATCCTTCATCCTTTCAACCTCCAAACCAAGAAAGTTGTTCAGCTCACCCAACATCTTCATCTCAAACCTTATCGACATATCCTCTTGCAGACGAGCAATTTCCGCTTCATCATTCCCGGTAATTATCAAGTCATCCACATAAAGAAGGACTACCACGTGGACTCCTCCATTCTTCTTGAAGAACAGACTCGGATCAGAGTTCGACGGAGAGTAACCGCAAAACTGAAGAAACTGAGCAAGCTTTCCATACCAGGCCCTTGGAGCTTGTTTTAACCCATACAAAGCCTTCTTTAGCTTGCAAACATAATCGGGATGCTCTTGTGATATGTAACCAAGTGGTTGCTCCATATAGATTTCTTTATCAAGTTCTCCGTATAGAAAAGCGTTCTTCACATCTAACTGCCATAACTTCCAGCCAAAGCTTGCAGCTAAAGATAAGAGTGTACGTACCGTAGTCATCTTCGCCACTGGACTGAAAGTCTCATCATAGTCTTCTCCATACTTCTGAGAAAATCCCCGAGCAACCAATCTTGCTTTGTGTCTATCAATGTTTCCATCCCTCTTACGCTTGATCCGGTACACCCATTTGCATGAGACGGGTTGGACATCCTTGGGTTTTGGAACCAAATCCCAAGTTTCATTTTTCTTTAGAGCATCCATCTCCTCCTTCATTGCGGTCTCCCACTCTTTAACTCCTTTTGCTTCATCATAAGATGATGGTTCTTCTTCATCAAAAGGAGATGCAAAGTAGCATGAGTAAGTAGTAACAAACCTTTCATCTCTGTACCGAGCAGGTTTAACGATGTCCCGTTTTGGTCGTTGATTAGCCAAGGAACCATGATCTTCCTCCTCCTCTTCCTCTTGGTTAGTGCTCCCCCTTTCACCTTGCATCTCTGGTTCAGAAATTCCACCATCACTTGGTATCTGAGCAGCTGGTTCATCGTCTTTAAGTGAGCCCGCACCATCTTGCTCAACCAAGACTTGAGGAGATCCGTAATATGAAGACACTTCATCAAAGACAACATCACGAGATACAGTGTATCTGTGTGTCTCTGGATCCATACACCTCCACCCCTTCCTTTGTTCATCATAGCCGACAAAGATGCACTTTTTCGCCTTTGCCTCCAGCTTGGTTCTTTGAGAGTCGAACACATGGACATAGCAGATAGATCCAAATATCCTGAGATGTTTCACTGTTGGCTTCTTCCCATGAACCATCTCATAAGGAGACTTCATATTATTTGGACTAAGCGGCATCCGATTGATGACATAGGCTGCACATCTCATCCCTTCTGCCCATAGAGCCTTAGGCAAATTCTTCGCATGTAGCCAGCTTCTACACGTCTCACTTAGATGCCTTATCTTCCTTTCTGCTACTCCATTTTGTTGAGGTGTGTATGGACATGAAAATTCTCTCTTGATACCATGCTTTCGGCAGAAAGAGAGAAACTCGTTTGACATAAACTCCCCTCCATTATCCGTCCTTAAGGTCTTGATTTTCCGACCCAACTCTCCTTCCACGGTAACCTTGAATTCTTGAAACTTGGAGAATACTTCTGACTTTTCCTTCACAAAGTATACCCAGGTGTACCGTGAGTAATCATCAACGAACAACAGCATGTAGCGGAACCCGGAATAGGAGGATGTTCTCGTCGGACCCATCAAATCACTATGGATCCTCTCCAACGGAGCATTGCATCGTGAAGTAGAATTGTCAAATGGAAGTCTATGTGATTTTCCATATTGACAACCTTCACAAAGCTTTCCTTCATCTTGAATCTTCAACTTTGGGAGCCCATTAACCAGATCTTTATTCACCATAGCCTTCAGCTTAGTCATATTTATATGGCCAAGCCTAGCATGCCAAATAAAAGCATTATCATTCGTACTCATCTTCTCAATGTACGAATTTGAGGCCGATAAGACATAAAGATCTTTAACCCGTGCTCCGGTGTGAACTACGTCCGCCTTTAACTCTTGAATATTCTTCAAGAATTTAACGTCTTTTGGTCCAAATAAAACGTAGTTACCTGAGTCCACCGCATTCACCACGGAAAGAAGATTCTTCTTAACTCCAGGGACATGGTATACGTTCTTGAGAGTGATTGGGCCTCCTTCTTCTCCTTCAATAACAATAGTCCCTTCCTTCTCAACCCGGTGGATTGAATTATCCGCAGTGATAATAGCTTCTTTCCCGTCATGACGTTGAAGACTAGAAAATAACTTCTCGTTTCCGGTAATATGATGGCTACAACCCGAATCCACAATCCAATCATTTCCAAGATTTTTAGTTGTGGATGTACCTGAAGATGCAGCCTCCACCGTGAAACATTTCCCCCAATCTTCGTCTTCAGTATGACTTTTTGATTCCGCCATATTGGTTTCCTTCAGCTTGACCCGACAGTCCTTTTTGAAATGCCCAAGCTTTCCACACCGGTAACACTTGAACTGCTTCTTGTCTCCCGTAGAAGATCTTTCCCGTCCATCATTATTCTTTACACCATCATTCTTGGTTTTTCCTTTGTAGCTCTGTTGCCTCCGAGCTACAAAAGCGCTCCCCGAGTCATCATGGATTTTGACTCCCGCCATTTGCGTGGCTAAGGATTCTTGCGAAGCTAGCAGATTTTCAAACTCCTCCAAGGAAGGTTGTGTAGCCCATCCTTGAACGGAAGTCACAAACGGTGTATATTCGGGTCGTAAACCACGAATAATAGACCGCTTTAACCGAGCTTCCGAAATAGACTCCTCCGGATTAAGAGTGTTAATCTCAGAGCAAAGGTTCTTTACCTTGATGAAGAACTCTGAGATTGAAGACTCCCCCTGCTTCGCATTCGCCAACTCGTTCTCTAACAGTTGTAGACGAGCCTCATTCTTCTTGTTGAACAGTTGGTCCAACGCTTGCCAAATGGAACTAGCGGATGTGCACCTTGAGACATGCTCAAATACTCCCGAGGATATTGACCTCTTCAATGCAAACTCCGCCTTGGCATTCTTCCGTGTCCATTCCTTTGTCGCTTCCGCTGTCGCAGCAGCTCCCATTGGTGGTGTGGTGCTACTGCCGCCGACGACATCCCATAAGTCCTCACTCACCAAGTATGACTCCATACATGACTTCCATAACCGGTAGTTAGATTGGTTTAAGATCTCCATTCCCAATCCAACAACACGACCCATTGATTCCATACTTAGAGTAAACCCGAGTTCTCCTAAATCCCGATCTTGATGAGCACAAGATTAGAATGGCTCTGATACCATGTAGAGAAACCAGCACCGATAGTGCTTAGCACTAGCCCAAGACCGTAATACCCGAGAAACCCGAAAGAAACAATAAACCCTCTAAGTATGAAGAGAAATATGGAAGAACACAAGAGAATACTTGAAAGACTTTTAAGAAGAACAAGAGAGAACTTAGCTTTAGAACACTCTTTATTAACTTGTTCAATTTCTTGTGCATTTACAAATGAGGGGGTGAGGAGGTATTTATAGCCTCCCAAATCTACTTACAAAGTTTCTACACTCTTCTATAACCTCCTTAGGTCCTAGATATTTCTTCTTCTTCTTCTACAACTTTCTACAAATTATCTTACAAGTTTATCCTAATCTCTAGAACTCTCTAACATAATATCTAGATTTCTTGTCTTACAAGAACTAGAAAGTTCTACATAAATATCTAGAGAGTTATCTAGTAGAATTCTCTAGAAAATTTGAGGAAGTGATGACCTCTTATGATGTTTCTAGAGAGTTCTAGAACTTGGGCCTAATTTTGGGTTTAATAATAATTTGTTTATGGACCCAAAATTAAACCTTGATCAAAATCAAGTTTAATTTCAATAGAAAAATGTTGAGGTGATGCTGTGCAATCTCAAAGCTGAGATCAAACTGAAAGCAGAGAACTAATATTAATTTATATGATATTTAGTAGTTTCTAGTTTTGATCTTATGACTTTTTTATTTATTTTGATTTGATTTGATTTAGATATAATTAGATCTTTTCATATGTTTTGGTGTCTAGAAATCTAATGTTCTTAACACAGTTTTCGTTTTCAGATTGTTTTTACTACATCTTTCTCCCGGATAAAATGAATCAAACTTAACTTTTCCATCTGTAAAATAGTTTCCTGAAGAATGGTTATATCTCTTTATAAATGGAAGATGGTGTTACACCTAACTAAACACTACTACTACTCTGTTTCCTCTTTTCTTCATTCTCTAACAAAGATCGGATGATGCTCTGTTCAGACTCAATCTTCAAGAGTCTTGTTTCTTCACTGGATTTTTCACCATGGTTTATCAGCGAAAGAACCCTTTTTTATGGATAACCCAACCAAAATATGTCTAATATTGAGAGCGGAAGCGATAGAATATCCGTTATCATTCAGAATAGCAGGGAGACAAGTATTTAAAAAAAAAAAAAATTTGAAACGTTAAAACGAATACAGATAACAAGAATCATAAGAGAAAACTCAACTTTCTAACCATCTCAAAATTAGTAACCACTCCATTAAAGTTTAGACCTAAACAGCTTAATTATAAAAGTGAAAACCCTAAAAATCATCAAAAAGGTTTTTGATAATTTATCTAACTAATAAGATAATGATACAAGAGATTTGGAGATAATCCAAACATATTTCCTATGCGATTGTGCTTTAACCAAAAAAAAAAAAAACCTATTTATCTCAGGCTTAGGATGCGATGATTAAAATAGGAACACAATATTTTTGTAATTATATATGTTTCTTTTAGGCGATCCCGTCTCTTCCTCAATCTCAAGAGTCCGACAAAACCTATAGAATTTTCTCTCTGTCCCTCCCTCGAAGAAGTACCAAACCCTAAAATTAAGAGAGTGGTTTTTTAAGTCATGGGGAACAGCAAACAGAAAGTGACTTACACTTTTGAGATCGACAACTTTTCCCAAAGGAATACTCCATTTATGTCTCCTCTGTTCTCAAGCGGGTTCTCAAGCGGCTTCTGCAACTGGTATAAACGAGAACTAAGATACAGTTCTTACTACACGTGTTAAGGACTAATTAATCAAATATTTTTGTTTTATTATTTTAGGCATGTTTACGTACAACCCAAGGGAAACCGTACTAGCAAATACATGTGTCTGTACTTAGCAGTCCCAGATCCTCACTCACGCCCTCATCTTTGGTCGAGAGTTACCAGTTTTAGCTTCGTTGTCGTGAATCCATCCAACGTTCTCAGCTCCAAAAGTTTTGTTGGTAATTCGTCTTTTTAACACTTTTCTTATTATTTCTTATTATTTCACTAGCATAAAAAAAAAATACTTAAGTTAACTACTCTTTCTTCAGTTGTAGCAAATTGCATATTTATATTATTTTTAATTTTAAATTTTTTTGTTTATGTCTCTGTTACTTCATACGTCTACAGGAACTTACCGCACCTTTAACGAGAAACAACCAACTTCGGGTTTCATCAGAACGGGCTTGACTCTTTCCAATCTTCAAGAGAAAGGATTTCTTGTGAACGACAAACTCAAAATTGAAGTCTACATATATGTTAAGGAGCTTCATGGTGGACGAGATCCAAAAGTCTTACCCGAAGAAAAGAAGGAGACGGTGTATGTCCATGGCTTCGAACTTCTTCAGTCGCAAGTAAAGTCAGCAAACTGGATTTTTGATACTTACCCAGAAACTGCTTTGTATATTCAACCACAAGATCCACAACTTAAGACAGCATACATGAACATTCTCCTCAGAATCTACGAGACACTTTATTACAGTCCTCTTGAGAAGCTCACCGAGTCTGATCTAAGTAACGTTTCCAATGGTTTGCTTGATCTGACACAAGCTGGTTTTAAGCTGGAATGGTTGAGGGAAAAGCTTGAGAAGGTTACCTTGGGGAGGAAGAAACTCTCTGGTTATGAAGCTCATGCTCTAGAACTTGAAAAACAGTTGAAGAATCTTGAGCTGATGATGAGTAATCTCAAAGCTAAGATAAAACTGAATGCAGAGAGAAAATTAGATGATATTTAGCAGGGTCTTTCTAGTTTTAGTATATTTTATTATTTTGTTTTACATGGTTTTCCAGACTTTGGTTTACATCTACTTATAGCTTTCATATGTTTTGATTTTCTAGAAATCAATTATTTTCAACACATATTTCGCTTTTAGATTGTTCTTGATAATTGGCAGAAAGAAATTCAAATTAGCAGATGGTGAAGCAAATATGAGAACATTATCCATTTTGAGAAAAATAAACTCAAAGTTCGATCCGTATACGTGAAGCACTAAACCTTGTCTGAGGATTAGGTTTGTTTGTTCAGAGCACTTCCGCTGTTCTTCAGCCAAGCCCTAAAAAGGGTGTAAGGCCTTTAGGCCCATAAATACTCAGTGTTCAATCACTCATTCACTCGTATATTAGGGTTTCGCTTAGCATCTACAACATTCTTTTTACTTCCAACAAATTTCTCGACAAGAATTTTGCCTGAGGAAACACGAACCTAAGAAAGCGTTTTGAGAAGATATGGGGAATCAAATGCAAAAGAGTGTCTCAGGTACGTTTCTACTGATTTCTTTTGTTTGTTTATTATCGTCTGAAAGTAGTCAATAGATTTAGTGAGAAGTTTGTCTATCCCTCAGAGAAACAAAAAGACTAAGAAAGCGTTTTGAACAGATACGGGGGATAGGTTGCAAACGAGTTACACGTTTGAGATAGATAACTTCTCCGACAAGAAAGCTTCGATTGTGTCTCCTAAGTTCTTAAGTGGCGGCTGCGAATGGTAAGGGAGAAAAAAAAAATGTTTAGGTTAAAGGAAAATGAGTTCTGGTAATCCAATACGATCATATCGATCACTAAAAAGGGTCTCTCCTCTGTGCTTCTTCTTTTTTCTTTTGATCTTCTCAGGTATATTGAAGTTCTTCCCAAGGAAAAAGATTGTGATGATCACTTGCGTCTGTACCTTTTCGTTCATAATCCTCAATCATTGCGAAAAGGATGGAAAAGGAAAGCTAATTTACGATTCTCTCTGTTAAACCAATCCGGAAAAGTTCTCTACAGTGGAACTGGTAATTATGATCATACCTTCCATTCCATCTTCTCTTTGGTCTCCTACTCTCATGCACAATTTTTTCTGTTAAGAAAAAGAAAAAGGTTAATATTTTGAATATTTATGAACAGTAGAGTTAAATTTTCTTTTTGTTTGTTTTTCAGAAAGATCAAGCTTGTTATTCTGCGCTCAGTTTTCATCATGGGGTCATAAGACATTGCCTCTAAGCAAACTTAAAGAAGAAGGGTTTCTAGAGAATAACAAACTGATAATTCAAGTCGAAGTAAAAGTAGTTGAAATTGTTCATCAAGCAGAGGTAACCGGGAAAGAGATGTTATACATCAACGGTTTCAACGTTCTTTATACTCAGGTATGTTAAGTATCCCCCAGTTTATTTATCTTATTTCATAATCTACAACAATGCCTTTGGTTTGTTTTCCTCTCTGGTGAATCAAGAAGTGTACAGTATTTATATCTGATGGAATATAATTAGTTACATGATCCTTATTGTTGGCAGGTTCATTCGGTGTCCTGTATCTTCAAGAAACACCCTGACTTTGCTTTGGATTTCAAACCAAAGGACAAAGGAGTGAAGACAGCATACATGAGTCTTCTCCTCAGCCTCATCGAGACACTGCGCAAGGCTCCACGGAACTTTTCTCATGCTGAGCTAAAAAACGCTGAGAGGGAGTTCAAGGAGCTAACAGAAGCAGGCTTCAAGCTGGATTGGTTAAAGAAAAAGCTTGAGGATCTTTCCTTAAAGATGAAGAATGTAACTGAAGATTTTTCTCGGGTCGAAAAATTGGAGGAACGCATCATGTTTATGGAGAAGAATTTGTCGGATCTCAAAGCTGAACTGGAAAGTGAGAATGCCAAATCTGCTGCTGCTACTAAAGTTTTGTCGTTTTACGACTTTCTTTGATTTGTTTCAATAAGTATTTTTTTGGATTCCGCATTACTGTAGTCACTAGTGTTTAATCCTCTGTTTAGTCCTCATCACGTTTAACATTATTTGGTGTCAAAATTATTTTAGTTCATCAAAATATCTCTTGGGAATTGGCATTACTATTTTCGTTGTTTGACCCTTTGTCTACAAACATGCATGTTTGAGTCTAAGCGTTTGATTGACAACAAAGCCTAAACAAACTTTCCTTGCAACAAATGGAATTTATTTTATAATTGCATCCAAGTCAGAAGTTGATCCTACGTCGTAAATAATGTATCTATGATACACATGCATCGTGAAGCAGAAGCTACAGATTAACGCACTTAATTAGGCTGCATGAGTAGAAGATATAAATCAGTTTAGTTTACCGCGCGGAGACAACGAGACAAACTAGAACATAAATGTGTTACCAAAGTCCGCCTTTTTTAAATATAGGGCTTGAAAAAGACGTGAAAGGGTATTAAAGGATGTTGTTACCACCAGAATATTTGCATAATGTAACGCTTTTGGAACACATGCTTGCCCTGCTTCGTATACAGAGGCGGTGGCTCTGTGCGTTACCGTTCTTGGGTTCACAACGAAGAAACGAGGGAGCCAATGGTTAAGAATTTGATGGATGCATGGTGTAGGGCCTACTCTCGGTGTCTAATCAAAATCGTATTAGACAACATTTTTTTAAGGGGAGTTCTTAGTAAATGAACTTCGAAATATTTTTAATGTTTATGGATTCCGTTGTTATTGGTTTGTTAATGGATTTTTAAAATCATAATAAATTTCATTGTTATTGGTTATAAGATTTTTAAATTCCACTCAAAATCTCTTCTTAATTTTTTATTCAAAAATTCTATCAAAATCTCAATGTTATTAGGACATAAATTCTTTACATTTTACTACTCACAAAATGCAACATTAAAAATACTGTAATATGGTTAATAACTATGAGCTTTTCCAAATCACTGTAAAGTAAAAATAGATACAAAGCTTAAAAAACATTATTGACTTTTTTCAGCAATGGTTATTTTACAAATTAAGTCACGATCCAAATTTAGCTAGAGTAAAATGTGGATATGCAAAACACATATAATTATTGTTTCACAAATTCGACTCAATATTTGTGAAACTAACCCTAAAAATGGGTTTTTCAATTATTTTTTAATGAAAAATCATAATTGTTAAAAATCTTTTTTAAGTCATTTCAAGAAAGATTAAAAACATAATTTGGTACATATGCTTACGTAAAAAATCTCATAATAATTAAATTAATCATATCTACTAACTAGAGTTGTTAATATTTGCAAATCTTTATATTAATAAATTACTTATAAAAAAATAAGAAAGAAAGAAAATTAAATAGATATCCAAGATAATCAATGACAATCTATACAAACATTTGACTAGAATCTATGACACATTTATTGAATTCATTAAACTTATAAAAATTTCTCAATTTTGAAATCAATCATTTCCATATAAATTCATCTAGTTCCTATAAATTTCTCTGCAAGGATTTTGTCATTCGCCTTACGAAAGCACAGCCTAAGTAAGAGTGCTGATAAGATATGGGGAATCAAATGCAGAAGGGTATCGCAGGTATGTAGTCGTTTCCCCTGATTTCTTTTGTTTGTTCTTTTATATTCTGAGAGTAGCAAATAGGTTTATGAGAAGTTTGTTTATTTCTCAAAAGATACAAAAAGGCTAAGAAAGCGTTTTGAACAGATACGGGGGAAAAGTTGCAAACGAGTTACACGTTTGAGATAATTAACTTCTCCGAGAAGAAAGCTTTGATTGTGTCTCCTAAGTTCTTAAGCGGTGGCTGCGGATGGTAAGCGAGAAACATCAAACATCCATGCTTAGGTTAAAAAGAACATGAATTCTGGTAATCCAATAATATGATTTAGCACTAAAATGGGTCTCTACCCTCTACTCTTTGCTATTTTTCGTTTAATCTTTTCAGGAATATTGTAATTTGTCCCGATGGAGAAGATTCTGATGATTACTTGCATCTGTACCTGAGAGTTCATAATCCTCAATCATTGCGAACAGGATGGAAAAGGAAAGCTTATTTTCGTTTCTCTCTGTTAAACAAATCCGGAAAAGTTCTCTACAGTAGAACTGGTAATTATGACCATACCTTCCATCTTCTCTTTGGTTTCAGTGTTATAGTTCTTGTTGCAAAAGAAGAAGAAAAAAAAAAGTGAACCTCTACATATTAGTATAAAACATGCAAGAAAGAGTGTGGATGAGCAAGAAGTCAGAGCTTGTGTGCAGAGTATCTTCCATATTTTGAAACATTAGTTATATTTTCTTTTTGCTTGCCTTGCAGAAATATCAACCATCTTATTCTGCTCTGAGTTCCTATCATGGGGTCATAAGACATTGCCTCTAACTCTTAGCAAACTTAAAGAAGAAGGGTTTCTGGAGAAGAACAAACTGATCGTTAAAGTCGAAGTAAAAGTAGTTGAAATTGTTCATGAATCAAAGGTAACTGGGAAGGAGATGTTGGATTTCCAAGGTTTTAACGTTCTTTATTCTCAGGTATGTCAAGTATCTCCCAGTTTCTTTATCTTTATCTCATAATCTACAACAAGTCAACAACCCTTTGCTTTTTTTTTCTCTCTCTGGTCTGGTGAATCAAGAACTGCACAGAATACAAACTGGGTTCAAATCTTATTAACATACGTCCTTATTGTTGGCAGGTTCTTCCAGTGCTACATATCTTCAATAAACACCCAGACATTGATGAGGATTTCAAACCAAAGGACAAAGGAGTGAAGACAGCATACATGAATCTTCTCCTCAGCCTCATCGAGACACTGCGCAAGGCTCCACAGAGCTTTTCTGAGGCTGAGCTAAGCAACGCTCAGAGCGAGTTGAACGAGCTAACAGAAGCGGGATTCAAGCTGGATTGGTTAAAGAAAAAGCTTGATGAGGTTTGCTTGGAGAGGAAGAATGCAATTGCTGACGGTTCTCTGGGGGTCGAACAAGTGGAGCAACGCATCAAGAATCTGGAGCAGACTTTGTCGGATCTCAAAGTTGAACTGGAAAGTGAGAAGGCCAAATCCGCTGCTGCTACTAAAGTTTTGTCGTTTGAAGACATTCTTTGATTTACTTCATAATTATTACTGGGATTTCGTATTACTATAGACTATATATAGTCATTATTCATACAAAGATGATCGACAAAATTAAAAACCTAAACGAAATTTGCTTGCAACAAAAATATTTGATGAGGTAAGTCAATTATTTACGTTTTTCATTGAGAAATAGGGTTTTGATCTTAGGTTTTTTTTTTCCAAAGTATGATTCGGTTTAATCCCTAGTTTCGGTTTATTGTCGTGAATTATTCCATCGTTCACCATGAACCGATTCACACATATCCTTCAACCCAAATTGTCACCAAGTTGAATCGAATATATCGATCGATGAGACCAAATTGCGTAACTTTGTGCAATGTGCATGGTCCATATTTTTCTGTGTGATGTAACCTAGAAGACATTACTACATGTGAATATGTTACTATCGTTCACCGAAAGACGTAAACACCCCCGGGTCTTTTACTTACGTTAACAGAATTATAATGGGCCGAGAATAGGCCCAATTAAGCCCATAACTCATTAGAAGCCTGACTGGAAAAGTCTAGATGGCGGTGAATCACTGAAATCCAGTCGCGGTGTTGCTCGTCTTTTCCCGATTTGCTCGGCCAAGCGGTTATTAATTAACGGCACGCGCCGATTATCCTGCCACGCCCCACCGATTCTTCGAAGCTACACTTACTTGAACATTCTCTGCTCCGTCGTCGCTTTCGGATGATCCTTTTACTTGAAAGGAGGAGCTCAATTTGATTTAGCTGTACAATCCATTTACGAGCCACGCCAATGGCTAACAAGTCACTGAATCGGCTTCTATGGAATTTCCGTAAGCTCTACTTTACCCTCACCTTCTGGAATTAGAGTGTTAGAACACTGAGCAATCACTTGTTGAATTCGAATGTCGAATGTCAAATTAGTAGTCGATGATGATGATTCATGGTTCTGTTCATATTCTTATGACATTTGAGGAAACAAAAAATGAAGCTGCTTTCTGAAAGTATAAACTGATTTTGAATATGTTTGGTATGAAAGTTTTGAACTTTAGTAAAAACTCTTGAGCTCAAATTAGTAGACGATGATGATTCATGGTTCTGTTCATATTCTTATGACGTTTGAGGAAACAAAAATAAAGCTGCTTTCTGAAAGTATTAACTATTTTTGAATATGTTTGATATGAAAGTTTTGAACTTTGGTAAAAGTTCTTGAGAAAAATTTTCACTTTTTAAATATTTTCAGTTGTAGAAGATTCACCGTTCAAGAAGAGACGTGGTTTATATGAAGGAGTTGTGTACAATGTAATCAAGCGGTTTCGGTCTCAATTATCAGAATCAGGCAAAGCAGAGAAGGAGTCAGAAGAACAAGAGGCTAAGAAAATGCCAAACGTCTCTTCTTCCAGGTCTGACTTAGAGAAGAGAAGACGTTTTGAATCAGGACTCGACGGTGATAGCTCTGGTGATGAAGACACAGGTGATGGGAAATGGAAACTGGACTTAGCGTGGCTCACAAAAGCACTTGAGCCAGCTATTCAATTGCGTAGATGGGCTCTTCCATCAGGTCTATTATCATATACTGTTCTTGTTCTTGGTTTGATTCTTGGAGCATTTCATTCAGTGTTCATAATGTTTAATGTGTGTTGTCTCTCCAGGAGAGAAGTCAGCGCCTGGTTCTCGATCACTGTCTGAGATCATTGCTAGTATTCAGAGGAGTAAGCTCGGGATTGAAGGTTGGACTCTCGGTGATCTTACCATCGGTCTCTATCTTATATACCTTAGACAAGCATCCTTGTCTCCGTTTGAGGACGTCAAGGGCGTTGAAGTTGTTTCAGAATCTACTGTAAGACTTGGTCATTGTCATGGAGATAAGCTTTCTCTTTAACCAAATTATGAGTTAAGTAGCTCTGTTGTTCCTTTTGTTCAGGTTAATGATCTCATATACAACGCGGAGCTAGCGAAAGGTTGTTACAGGGATAGTGTGGCTGGTCTTGCCAAGAACACGATGCTTAGAGAGAACAACATTCTTAAGTTTGTGAAAGATTCGAGCGTCATGAGGCCTGGTTATTACGTTGGGGTTGATCATCGGAGGAAGCTCGTGGTTTTTGGAATACGAGGGACGCATACGATTTACGATCTCATCACTGACATTGTCTCTTCGAGCGATGAGGAGGTCACGTTTGAAGGCTTCTCAACACACTTTGGAACCGCTGAAGCTGCAAGGTGGTTCCTTAATCATGAATTGCAAACTATAAGAAGGTGCTTAGAGAGATACGAGGTGATGATGATGATGATATGATCATTGTTTGTTAGACATGAATGAGAAAGGATATGGATTTGAATGTTGAAATGTGAATGATCTGTAGGGATACAAGTTGAGGCTTGTTGGTCATTCTCTTGGCGGGGCTATAGCTTCTGTGATGGCGATTATGCTCAGGAAAATGCCAAGGGAGGAACTGGGATTCGACTCTGAGATTATCTCAGCTGTTGGATATGCGACGCCTCCTTGTGTTTCCAAAGATCTTGCAGAGAATTGCTCTGAGTTTGTGACTACTATTGTTATGCAGGTCAGAACTATTGTAATTGCTCTTTTCTTGATCAAGTTTTGTTGAGTTCTTGATGAAACTCACAGCATTTTCGGCCAATTTTTCAGGATGATATTATACCAAGACTAAGTACAGCTTCTCTAGCGAGATTGAGGGATGAAATCCTTCAGACTGATTGGTAAAGCAAACACTTTCACTTCTTGAATAACTTTACTTAACCTTCTACAGTCTGTTTTGGTTTAACTTATTGTCATGATTTTGTAAATCCAGGACAAGTGTGATCGAGAAGGAAGAATGGAAGAGTGTACTAGATTTGGTAACGAACGCGAAACAAGTTGTGTCCTCTGTGCAAGACGCAGCTCGAAAAGTTTCTGAATATGCAAACTTCGGAAACAAGAATGAGTTTCCAGGTAACTAAACTACTTCTTGAACAGGATAATCTTTTCTTGATTATAAACGCTTCATTAATCTTAAACTTTTCTTGATTTTTCACCAGAAATTGCGTCATCCAATAACGACAAGTCTGATAAGTTAGTCTCAGTGTCTAATAAGACTAAAGATGTTGTGAAATTGCCAGAAGAGTTGTATGTGCCAGGTGCGGTTTACTATCTGATGAGGAACCTCAGAGGAAACACGAAAATCGGATCAGGGAAAAGAGTTGAATACTTTAGTCTATGGAAGAGAGATCCAGGACAACATTTTCAGAGGATACTTCTCTCTGGTAACTTCATTACAGACCATAAATGTGATAGTCATTACTACGCTCTGCGAGATGTGCTTAAAGGATTTCCAAGTTTCATCGACGAAAGCATCTTTAAGAAGAGATGTGAGTGATATATAGAAATAATCTCATTTCTGGTTAGAACGTAATGTTTTAGTTTGTGCGTAAACATTTTAAGAATAAACTTTATCAGTTTATCAGAGCTTGAAGAGTTAAGACATTAGTGTTGCTTTGTGGTTTTACACACTGTTATGCATCATGCCTCTGCGTCATATCTATAAATGTATAGCTTAAGCCCCGGTTTGGATTGGATATAAATTTTGTCATTTAACTTTATAATAATACATTGCACAAAGTCGTCTTCATTTTTCAGGCATTATTCAGTGTCTCAAGTAAAATATTATACTCCAGCTTTTCCTTTAACCCCGTGACAACACGATTCTTCCATTTGTCGGGTCACACACTATTCAGTATTCACTCCACTGATCCCAAAAATAGTATTTAGAGATCGTTTTAGGCTTTTAGCTTATAAAAGTTACTTAATATAGAAGAGCTCGGTTGACTATTAAAAAGTTTCAAAATAATTGATTACTAAGTAGCTGATAAGTAAGCAAACAAACAAATTAAAGGATAAACGATGAACAGTGGATTTAGTCACTGATTGGGAGCTACTTAATACTTTTAGGCACTTAGAGTTAATAAAGGTTTGGTTTATAGGAATGGAGAGACCCACCACAAGAAAAAGAAAGTGAAAGTTAGGTGTTTTGCGTTTTCCATATGATCTCTCATCCTTGGTAGTAGTTTTCAATTTGTTCTTTCCCTTAGCCGCCGCATTCTGTCTCATGTATGTGTTTCTAGCTATTATTATCCCTTTGTAAACTAATAAACTAATCATACTATTACTTGTGCGTATTTCTAGCTATTATTATCCCTTTGTCTCATGCATGTATTTCTAGTCGTTATATTGGTAGAGTATTGCTTGTGCAACCCACGAAAACGAATTAATGGTGGCAAATCTTTGATTTGGCCACTTGGACAAATTAGATGTATGTATAAACCGGAACATGATATAAGTGGAACACTAATTATGTTTTGTAGTATATTAAAGATACTGTTCCATGTTTCAATAAGAAACTAAAAAGGAGTTCTTCATAACTTTTGACGTTATATGTATAATCTAATGAGAAATTATAGTGGTTGTTTTATACGGCACGGGAGCTGCAGCACCAGAACAACAATTCTCTTTACAATTGTTATTTCTTTTTTGCATGTTCTAAGAATAATATTGAAGTTAATTTTTCCTATGTTATATCTAATAGAAATACAGAACGAAAGCTAGATGACAATTGAAAAAAACATCAATTGTAGATAGAAGTTTTGCGTAGAAGAATTGGATGGTTCGTAAATTGATTGAGGTTAAAGCTTTCGTTAGAACAATCTGAAATCAAATAAAAAAAAGCAAGAGAAAGCGCTTTCAATGTGAATGTTTTATCATATAGGATTTTATTCTATGCGTTAATGGGTTTTCTTGGATCGAACTCTCGTGTGTGAAATCTGATACCAACACTAAACTTAACTTTTAACATTTAGACCACTAACCAAATGTAATCCTTAACATGTCGAGCCAAAAAACACTAGCTTATTGATAATACATTACGTTAACTAAACTATTCCCTTAAATTGAGGTTTAGACTTTGAAATTTTGCCTCTCGTTCAACCTAAAGTACACACGCCTAACTATTTTCTTATATGCAAGTAACTTTAAACTTCAAACTAAACCACTATATTAATAATATATTTAGTTGATTTGAAATGTATCAATTTGACAAGAAGCTACTTAGTTATTAAACCAACAACATCACTTTCAAAGTTCTTTCTTGTCTATATAATTTTAAACTCAATGTTCAACTAATACCTTATAAATATGTAGATATTGTTTTTTTGTAGCAAAGGCTGAGTATGTAAATATTATTTGTACACGTATTTAGAGAGTTATGCATTATGCTATAATTGCAACATTTTCTTATTGAGAAATTTAAAGTTCCAGTAACGTTTGAGTCTGTAATATTTCTCGGCCAGAGGTTTGTGTCTGTGCAAATCAACTCGAAGATATCGACACTTCTTTCAAGCGTGAATAGAACTAAACGAAATTAACCTGATTCTCATTTGGTAAATAAAGATACAACATTTAGTTCGGGTATGTATATCATTTTCAATGTTAGCAATGAACTAGAGTTTCACCCAATAAGAAAATATTTAAAGAAGAATTTGATTTGCAATCATTGTCACAGACTCATAGCTAGATATATTATACACGGAGGAGAAGACAAGTGTACCTAACATCAACTGAGCATCCATCGACATGAAATATGTCTATATGCGTACGTGCACGACTGTGTGTAGCTTTAATTTGATTTTTTTTTCGTGTAAATTCGGGTTTTTTTTTTTGGTTATAAGAAATAAAATCCTCTTAAGTATATAATCAGCCAAATTCCACATACGTGTGACGGACCCATCTTGTCGGGGTTAACCGTTGTCAAGCTACAACATATCAGCATCATCTTACAACATTTTCGGATTTTAATTCATCATAAATAACAGACAAATTTAAATCTTAAATGCGGATGAGAGATTACTTAATCAGGTGATTCTTTTTCTTCTAAGTATTTACTTAAATAATCAATTTTAATGAAAAAATAATAATAAATTTACGTACAAGAGAAAACAAAACAAAAATGTTTAACTCTCTATTAGATTGTTTAATTTAATAGAGACACTAAATAGGACGCCAGGACTATGTTAAAAGGAAATCCATAAAATTTTCAGTAGTAGATCGTTGATATTTAAATCCTTCAAGTATATACATAGTAGACGAAGACATGATCTACCAAGAAAATTAATATAATATGAGTGTCTGGTTCTGTGAAAAGCTTTTCTAGCATATCAATTATATTATTGGACTTTCCGATTTTATCATGTCTATATACTCATTATACAAATCAAGATCGATATAAAGACAATGCATGAGACAGGTGTAGGCCACCAAGTAGACAAATTTTGATTAAACAATGTAATATGATATGTATGAAACTCACCTTGTTCTTCGTCTTTATAAAACGTTCCTTACGAGAATGCTCATCCATTCTTAAAGCTACTCAAGATTAATTATAATTATCATACATCAAAGAACATGACTGGCTCTGGCTCTCCTTGTGGAGCTTGCAAGTTCTTAAGAAGGAAATGTGTAAAAGGATGTGTGTTTGCCCCATACTTTTGCTATGAGCAAGGAGCTTCACATTTTGCAGCCATTCACCAAGTGTTTGGAGCCAGCAATGCTTCTAAATTACTCTATCATATTCCCATGGAAGATCGATGTGAAGCCGCCGTTACAATTTATTACGAAGCTCAAGCTCGCCTCCATGACCCCATCTATGGCTGCGTTTCTCATATATTTTCCCTCCAACAACAAGTAAATTATACTAGATATTTATAAACTTCCTCTATTAACCCTAGTCTTGATTTTGGATATAAGAAAATATGAATGTCGTATAAATATGGACAATATGGATCATTAATGTTGTGTGGTATTACTGTAGGTTGCCAATTTGCAAGCACAACTAGAGATTCTAAAGCAACAAGCCGCGCAAAGCATGATCGCTGCCGATTCTCCATCCATTGTAATCTCTAATTACTGTCAAGATACTAAACCTCAACATCTTCAAGAATCTCAAGCTATTCATCGCCATCATAACCATTTTCAACATCAAGACGGATTGTTTGAGACAGAGCCCTACTCCGATCTAAAGAATATCATGACGTCTTACTCCGAACTAGATCAACACTCGAACACTTTTAATCAGTATCAGCATGGGAGCAATGATCTTCTATCTGCGAATTTTGGATACATCTCGTATTCGTGATGAATTTTGTGAAAATATTGATCACGATCAACTTTCCGTTTATTAATATATATATAGAATTTTTATCGATATCAAGTTTATATGGATGAAATGTTTTTGATTGAATTAATTTCCATTTGATATTAGTATTATATCTACGCTTATATACACATTGCATCGGAGACAAGATTCGTCAAATATATTACTGGGATAAAACAAATGACAAATCCCCAAGCAGCTAAACTTATTACTTACCTCGTTGGGAAAATCTGTTTTGGACATTTTCTAAGCTAATGACATCTGCCTTTTCCATGCTTAGAATTAGAAGAATAAAACTCATAAAAAAACAAGAAAAATGAAACAAAAATTAGGACATAATTAATAATTATTATCAACTAAACCCTGATATTTTTTATTAAAAAATTATCATAGTGATAGAAGGTTTTTTAGTTATAAAAGCACGTTTATAGGGTTCACAATGAAAACTAATTTGATCGAAAAAGAAAAGGAAAAAAAGACAGACTGAAACTTAATGGGCTAATTTATAAGCGAACTGGGCCCATTTGTAAAGCATATTAGGCTGTCTTTTCCTAATAATGGGCCTAAATCGTTTCAGTTCCACCACGTGACATCTCCAACCCAGTTATTAATTACTAAAGAAATGCAAATTAATTTATATGCGGGTCCCGTAAACAAACGACTGAAAATTAGTCAGGCCGCACGTGTGATATTTCAACGGTCAAACACTTGGATTGTACTTAACTTAACGGGCCCACGTGCGTTAACTCCTGCCGTTTCAGTCCCTTTCTTCTTCTTCCCTTTTCCTTTTCTCTCTTTTTTTTTACGAGAAATTCGACAAGATGACAATAGTTCGTGTTTATTCCCTGTCAGTTTACACGTCACTGTACTAAAATAAACGCATTATAGTGATGTATGTTACTTTGTGTTTTTTAATAAAAGTTTATATCCAATTCGTTCTCGATGATGAGCTTGTTCTTTCTCTTTATACTCCGAAACAAATATTAGCTCCTTTATATATGACTAATAAACATACGTTCCTGATAAATGTATAAGTGGTGATATCATATGCTTTGACCACCCTCTTTTAATCTTTCTTTATAGATTTAATCAGAAAGAGTTGATAAATTTGGTCTTTGGTAATGGGCTCGAAGAGTTCGGATATTATTTTATAAACATACACATACATAAACGGTTTGACTAAGAATAGGGCATCGCCGAACTCTTGTTCATAACTCTCAACCATAAAATAACATTAGAAACTTGTTTTGGAAATGCGTGTGTGTGTTTTTTCGATGTTTCCCACCTAAACCTTAAAATATCTTTAGACCGACGTGATGCATTTTATTAGCCCAACGGTAATGATCTACTTATTTTGTTGACAACATAAAAGAGAGAGACTGAAACCTTTTTTCTATGCAAAAAAAATCGTAATCGTGAGTGTAATAAGATGTTACACTGTCCAAATTTCAAAATCGTCATCATACAAGTCGAAGTAACCAACATTTTGACATGTTAAGGATAAAGTATTCAAGGGATTCATCTATCATACGTTTTACAACTCTGCGGAATATATGGGTACAATGCCAAATGTTAAAAGAGAAGATAGGCTACCAAATTACCAGGTGAAGTATTGAGATTTTCTAAACGTTTTAGGTGAAGTATTGATCAGGTGCTTAATAACTTGTTTAAAAGACATTGATTACCTCGAGATTACAAATCATAAAGTCCTTTCTAAAAAAGACTAAGAGAGCATTTGTGGTTTTAGGTGTCGACAACAACCGAAGCTTCTTGGTGGGGAATTGGGTTAGAATTAGATGAGATTGATTAGAGTTGGCAAAGCAAAAAACAAATTAAAGATCATTAACTGAATTTAATTTAAGAGACTGGATACAATTTAGGGGACATATTGTCTAATAGGACCACTACAATTGATATGGGGGATTGGTGCTATCATAATTAACAAAGCACTTCTTAGTTAGTGTTAGGTAAACATGTTTATTATATGTAATTTTAATGCGTGGTCCATTTCTACATTAATATATTTATAGATGATGATTTCGATGATTTGCTTCTCTGACAGACAATCATAACATCCATTCCTGCTATGTTCTTCATATTGTTTTCTGATTTATTTGTTTTGTCAACAGTATTATATTTTCTTTATTTATTCCCCTTACAAAATCAATTTTCTATAGTAAAAATAAATGTTGACTTTATCATTTACGATACCTTTTGGCTTTCATAGAGATGCTAAAGAAAAAATTGTAGTTGACATTAAGTTGCAACTATACACACAATTCACAGAAATGTGAGAAAATGTCTTTGTAAGGTCTAAATTTCAATTATAAAAATACAACACTCATATTCAAATAGTTTTAAATCGTAATAAATTTATGGTTTGCATTTATACGGTAACTAAATTTAGCTTTTTCTTCCACATAAACTAGACATACAATTCGTAACGAGCCAAATAAACTTTATTATGTAATGTATTATATACCAATTCAAATTCAAACTTTTAAGATTTTCAGTAAGTGTGTTGTGTGAATGAAAGTCAGCCCCTTGGATGCGCCGCACGCATTTCATTTTGTAATTGTAGGTTCAGTGACAGATTTTGTCAATAACAGGTTTCGTCATTTAGCTGAGAAAACATGTTTTGGATTAGCGATATATTGCTAAGAAAAATGTCGTTGCACCAGCTAGCAAGTCAGCAACTACGAAACAACTGTGTTTTAGTCCTTAGTCGTTGGTCGCGGTCACTAGTGATTACAAAACAAATATGGATGTTAAACATGTTTACTAAGGATAGCATGTGAACATCGAATGTTTTGTTGTCTTTTTATGCGTCTCTAGTCAAAAGGGAAAGAAAAAAAAAACATCTCATTTCTTTTTGTCTACATAAGTTACAAGCTTATCTTAGTTCTTCATCATTCTAAGCGCCAAAGCCTGAAGCTCACCTAACTCGCTATTACAGTAACTCACTGATCTCTTCTTATTTGGATAACCTTCGTGACACCCTAGACCGCCTTGACCGTATACGCCTCCTCCGGTTTGATGAGTCTCTCGCACGTTAGCATTGGTGGTGACGTCACTGCTGGTGTTGCTGAAAGATTCATCTAACGAGCTCTGTGGTGAGACCGGGTGATTAGGGTTTACGTGACCGTAGTAGGGATGATGATGATGGTTATACGGTGTTGAGTACGCACTACCCATTGGAGAGCCACTAGATTGTTGCCACGTCATGAATTGATGAATATTCTCCGAGCTGTTTCTTAGATCTCCGGCGGCTGACGTGTGGTTGTGACCTGCGATCTGTGCCTTCATTTGCATGACTTGTGCTTGCAAGTAAGCCACCTTTGAACAAACGCATCAAACGCTAAGTTAAACAAGATTAATTCAATTATGTTCAATGTTGAAAACCCGTAGACGAACTAGTAAAGATCCTTCCTCTTTTTATGAAGATGTATGCTTTATAGTCTATATTATTTTCATTGAGCTTGATGTTTTGTGCCAAAAGGAGAATTTTGTTTGCAAATTTGCATGGTATTTCTAACCATAAATTCATACTTTCGATCAGTTTCAGTTTCACTTGGTTAAGATTTTTTCACAAAAATAAAATAAAAAACAATTAAAATTTCTAATATATAATTTACATAATAGTTCACTTTCCAAGCATAATAAATGAATCATAAAAGATAAATTTATTTTTCTAAGCGTTTTACTAATACGAACAAAATTTCAAAAAGATACACTCTTTTTGAAACGGAAAGAGTAAGTGTCGTTTACTCTAAGTTTTGGAGAATTCGAAAATGCCAAACGCAAAAAGAATATGCCATGACAAGATTTTGTTGAAAATTTGACTACGGATCCTTGTAACGTATCCTAAAGAAAACTCAAAATATAAAATTTACGAGTCATATAATTGTGAAAGTTTCACAACATACAAAATTTAGTTGATACTAATATGAACAAAATTTTGAAAACATACATCTTTCTTTTTGAAACGGAAAGAGTAATTATAGTCGTTTACTCTAAATTTTGGCGATTCGAAAATGCCAAACGCAAAAAAAAAAAAGAAAAGGTCATGACAAGAATTTGTTGAAAAACTGATACTTGTAATGTTTCCTAAAAAAGTCCCCAAAATATATAATTAACGTTTCATATGGTTGTGAAAATTTCACAACATACAGAAGAAAAAAAAAACTAATGTGAAACGAAAGTTGTGATGGGGAAGTTAGTATTAACCAATTCCCCAAGAATTTATCGGAAAAAAATAATACCATGCAGATAAAGTAACATAATATCAATCACCCACAATATAAATTTTGCAGCGCCTAAATACTGATGAATCAAAAGCGATTGCTAGGTTTGTTTACCTGTTGTTGGAGGGCAAAGATGTGAGAGACACAACCATAAACAGGGTCATGAAGACGAGCCTGAGCTTCGTAGGCTATTGTGACAACAGCTTCACATCGATCATGGATTGGGACATTGAGCAAGAGCTTAGAAACGTTGCTTGCTCCAAACACCCTGTGAATAGCTGCGAATCTAGCTGCTCCTTGCTCGGACGAGAAGTACGGTGCGAATATACAATCCGATGCACACTTCCTCCTCAGGAACTTGCATGCGCCGCATGGTGAACCTGTTCCTGCTGCGGTGCCGTTACCGGAAGATGCCATCGATGAAAAAGAAAAGTGATGAATATAATTTTATGTTTTCGCTACAAAAAGAAAGAAGGGTTCTCTTGTTTATCTGTTTTCTTTTGTCTTTTTTTTTCTTAAGGTTGGATTTGTGAAAAGATGTTGAGAAAAGACTGAAAGAAGTGATGCAGAATTGGGATCGTCGGAGATGTGCACGAGCAAACTAGGAAACGGTGATGGATGAAAAAGAAAAGAGAAAGAAATGATGATGGAGAAGCGTTTGGTGTCTTTGGGTGGATTTTATAAAAGGAACATTATGAGGTGAGAGAAGAGTTCTTTTTTCTTGAGCCGACTTATTTTATATGTTCACGACTCTATGATCATTTTACAATCACAAAAATAGGATAGTGAGTTTAATTAATTTTTTTAGTCTACCATATTGTGTCATCTTTTATATATAAAATTAAATACTCTAACTCTCCATCACTAGAGAGTCTGAGCCATACTTATCGTTTCGTTTATAAATTGTATTATATGAAACAACTGAATTTCTGTATCTTTAAATTTTTTTTTTATGGAGTTTACACTATCTTAAATTTTGCGTTACACAAGGATTCTATGCTTCAGTAAGTAATTAGAGTCGCATGCAAACAAGTTACGTTTGGTAATTATTCTAACCATCAATCATTTCGATTTTTGCCCAACATATCTACTTACTAAATCGGACACCAATATAAACCACAATCGTAAACAATATGAGGCCGGCCTGTAGACTATAATCGAGGTCTCGAGTGTTTGCTTGCAACGTTTTGTATAATTTTTCTGTTAAAGGGCCTTCGCGTTTTGCGTAAATTTTTTACTTTAAATGAATAGTCTAAATTTCACACACATTATCGTCTGTTTGATTTCATTATCGATAAAAGATCGTGTCTGGAAAAATGTGATCTGATTGACTAATTTGCAAATGCGTGCGAGACCCTCGTTCTGCTCAAGTTAAAAACTTGTATTCATAGTTTAGGTTTGACTTTGCACTTAGAAAATGTAAAAATTTCAAATTACTAGAGCCATTAGTGATGGAGATCGTTAAAGTGTTTTTGCCGCTCATGTAGTTTAAGACCTTTATGGCTATCAATGAAGTCGTTGTAAGAAAGAAAAAAATATACAGTACATGTGCAAGTGTATAAGAAGATTTCATTGTATAACAAAAAGAACAATCTTCTTACACAATTGATATTAAGTGAGATATTAATGTCCAAATATATCGAGTGAGCCAAAAGGTGTGAATGGTTTCCAGTCATTTTGAATGACGGGACTTTATGAGAAAATCTAAGTATCTCGCTTGGTGGAACTTGAAGTTGGAGAACTCCATACTGTGCCTGTCTGCGAAATAGAGAAACAAACCCTTCCACTTTCCCCAGATAGGCCACTCCAAGGCCATCTACATCATCAAAATCAGAGAGAGTTTCAACAAAGTCATATTCATAAACCCATTTATGATTTTCTGAAATAGCACTCCAGTTGATATCCCAGCCTCTGAAAACTGCCCAAATTTCTCCTCGTCTTGGATAAATGACAATGTTATTGTCGCGATGTAAGTGAAGCATCTGACTAGAAAATATCAAATGGTCATCTACTTCCTGTGAATCCCCATCTTTGAAGGCTCCGCAAGCAATGGGAATAGTGTTACCTTTATTATCCTGCAAAGGGTCAATCCACGTAATCCCCAGCTTGAACTCAGAATCAAACACTTTTTCTATTCGAGCATACAACCGAGGCATACCATCAGTCGGATCATACAGAGACCACACTTGGTTGACAGCAAAACAGCTCGTTGTCAGTTCAAAATTGTTGAAGTCTGGATCAGGTGACTCCTGCTTGATAGGCTTCTCACTAGCTTTGTGGTTAGGGTCAATCTTGCCCGCCATATCCATCCCTTCTCCACGTGCTTCACATCCTTTACTCTTTTTGTCTTTGGTTGACGAGGTTTCTTGGAATCCAGAATTTACATCTGACGGGGCAGGAGCATCACCACAGTCAAAACGTTTAGATGATCTAACACCTAAATTTTGTTTTCCCGTAGTTTCCTCAACAATGTGTCTCCTCCTTCTTTTGCCCTTGCTCGTAGAGTGTGCTTGATCACTCATTGAAACTGATTCATCAGGTACAGATTTAGAAGCACCTGTTTCTGGTTCTGTAACCTCAGGTTGTGGCTTGTGTAGTTCAGCCGTATTCTTCATCTTTCGCTCACCTTTCTCTGGCTTGCTTGATTTGCCACAACTCTCCATCAATCCGTCCTCTGGTTTGTGTTTTCTTACCTCAGCATTTTCATTCTCACCTCCTCCATTCTTCTCGTTGAATTTTTCTTTGAAAGATTCTTGCTTATCCACCTCAGCTGCTACACCTCCTGGTTGAGCACCAGTAGACTCCTGATTTGTATTCACAGATGTGCTACACGGCGGCTCCTGATTTCTAACTTCTTTTTGACCAGTGCTTGAATTAGGCGGCTCTCCACAAAATCCAGTGTCAAATGCCATGAAGGATCTTTTACATTTGGAACAGCACATAATCGTGTTCACATATTGCCTCAAGTACTTATACCTCTCGCCACAATGCTTGCAACATGCCCAAAACGTAACACTGTCACTGGCATTGTTTGTAGCTGCAGACTGTAGACCTGAGTTTGCACTCAACTGTCTGCTAGCAATCCGTGCATGGATTCTCCGCTTGATATCATACTGAGTCCGTTTCTCCTTGTCAGTGAGCAATCTGTTTGCTTCCCCAATCAACTTGAAAGCAGCCTCTGCACCGGGAAACTGGTTCTTGTCAGGATGGAGAAGCAACGCGAGCTTCTTGTACTGCTTCTTGATCGTTGCGTCGTCAGAGAAATGCATAGCTTGAAGAATACCGTACCAGTTCTCAAGACCACTGATTTTCTCCTCTGCAGAACAATGTACATCGCATACGGCTAGCATTTGTGGTAAGCTGTGAAGACCTGAGAAGAGACTCTGAGCCTTCATTACAAGCTTCTTAGCCCCAACGAAATCACATTTCTGCATCAATTCCTCTGCTAATGTTTTTGCCCTACAGGCCTCTTCCTTGTTGCACTCCATTTTGCAGACAAGAGACCTCTTAAAGCAGCTAAATTTCAGAGATTAGAACAACAAAGACACCAAGGAGCCAAAGCCAATATCTAGTTCCTGCAAATACAAATTCCATCGCTCAGTTTCGTTATCTATATTATCAATTCCCAATTTTTGATCTGTCATCCAAAAGATAGCAACTTTGAAAGAAAAAAACTCAGCTTTACCATATAAGAGACAGGAAATTTGAGATCTTTAAGCAATGTACTTCATCTGCTTCAAGGGTAGGAGTAAAAAATCAGTGTGATAGTTCAACAGTATAGACCTGCAAAACCAAATTGAAGAATTAACAAGAGAGAGTATAAGTCGTCTGACATGAAACCTGAGATAAACTTTAAACAAACCCAGAAATTGATTCCCTACTAAAAAAAAGTGATTTTTTTTGACGAATAATGAGGAAGGCGAGTCATAACCTGAAACTAAAGCTAATGAATATTGCCTATCCTGGAGAAACCCAGAATCTGAGACGACGGCTGGAGAATTTCGACGGACGCAAACAAGAGGAATTTTTTCCGAAGTCACCAAATGGCTCGCCGGCGTCGTCGCGTGAGCTCTCTCGCTGGAAGCAGACAGTCGCGTGAAGTTTTCTCTAATAAAAAAATCTTTTTGGTATATTAAAGCCCTGTCCTGAAAACGACACCGTTTAGGGAAACGGAATTTAAAGAAGAATAAAAGACTTGGACAGGCGGCTCGTTGAAACTACTTTAAAACATTTTTCCAGTAAACGAGCGAATCAATTTATTATTGTTACATAACAAAACCAGACCTGCAAAATTTCAAATCCATATTACATCACATATTTGTTATGTCTAGTTTAACTGTATAAAAGAGGCGGAACCAAAGTTATAGCAATCCTGCAAAAATACAATACAAACAAAAAGAAAACCCCCCAAAGAAGCAATAATCTTCCAAGAGCCCTAGAAATGATTATTGTGAGGAGGATTGAAAGGTTGATAAAGTTGGTAATTAATCTGGGGATGATCTGGTGGTGCAAACTGGTAGTTGTTTGGAGTTCCGGTGAAACCTCTACGGTAATGATCGACCTCCCAAGCCCGTCTTTGATTCTGTGAATAGCCATGCCCGATGTGATAATGGTTTCTTGGGTGAGAAGCAACCTGTCTCCAGCTCTCGTTGCTTTCCCACAGGCTGCGTTTGTGTCCTGTATGCTTGATTGTCGTCGAGCTTGAACTCGGTTTGCTCACGGAGGAGGAACCAGCTTCTCTTGGAGGTGCGTTGCTAGTGACAGCTACAATCTCTCCTCCATTTGGTGGGTTTTCCGTCTGGGCTTGTTTGGTTCCGGATCCGGAAGATGGGTTTCTTCTAAGCTTACTAAGCGACTTGATTTGTTCCTCGAGGCTTCCGGGTGGGAACTCTGATTCGAGTTTGTGAGTCGATATGCATCTCATGGCGGCTCTTAGTGATCTGATCTGCCTGTCTATAGCTGCAACCTGTAAAGCCTGCGTTCATACACAACAACAAACTCTTAAAGAGACTTCTTGTGATAATTAAAGAAGTTAAGAACAAAGGAAAGGATCAAGAATCTACCTGAGGTGCAGATTCTTTATTGAGGTCTATAAGGGACTTCTCTGCAAGTTCCTTAATAATCCTCAAGGAATCTTTTATAATGGCGGAAACAGGATGGAATGTTTGGGCCATATCAAAGGAGAATATGTAATCTATCGCCTTGATACGACGTCCGTTTCTTATGAGGTTTTGAATGAAACCTATAATGTCCTTGTCCAAGCCGAGAGACTGGCAAAGATCAGGAGAAACATTTCGCCAGTAAGGAGTGTCCAGTAGAGCAAGAAGGTCATAAGCCTTGAACTCGGACACAATCCCGAAGATGCCAAGAAACTGTAGGAAGCAAACGATTTCCAAGTCATCCGCCTTGTTGTTTGAAATCTTATATTTCCAATGAGCCGCGAGTTTCTTTGCATATCCTTTCAGTGGTTGTCCGATCTGCGGCTTCTGCTTCTCCAGGTGATTCAACAATACGGAGCAGGTAGGTGAATCAATCAGCAACTTGAACTCGGAGCTTGTAGGACAGAGGGTCATGCACGTGTCTAGCACAAGCTTTGCTGGATCTGGTGTGCATTTGAAAGCATTGGAGAGATCACTCTCCACTATAGGTTGATTTCCTCCTACTAGCTTCCTTAACATATCTGCGTTGATGGAACCAGAGAGAATCTTAGCCCTGATTTCAGCTCTTGATGCATGTGTTGTTGTGACGTCTGCCTGACGATTTACTCCTGATTCTCCAACCACCACAGAAGGAACAGACACTACATGATTCAAAAGGCATAAGAAAAAAAATGTCAGTTTATCACTTATCTTCACACACAAAAACAAAGCTTGGCTTACACGCAAGGTTGATACATACCTTTTGAGTCGCTTAATCTTTGACGTTTGGCTTCAGTCTTCTGCTCATACGGAATAGAAGAATCAGGTTTAGGTTTCTTCACAGCATCGGAGGTCGAGCTCTGTCCTTTTTCATAACTTTTGTGAACTGGTCTAGGGGATGATGATTCATCGTTCGCCAGTACAATCAGATGTTTGAAAGTTTCAGCAGGAAACAGATTCTCGACTCTCTTCTTTCGGATACACTCAAGGGCCATGACTGCATCAGCTTTTTTCTTCTCCCTCCATGCTTTCTACAACAAGTCAACAAGCCTAATCAAGACACATCATAAGCCAGAGTTAAGAGAACACACACACAGAGTTTTAGGTTAACTTACCTGCTTCTCCATTGAGTTTTTTGTCTCAGCAGCAATTACTCGGGCAGCTTTTTCTGAGGAGTCAAAGAAGTCAAGCAAAAGGGCTCCTGGTCGTCCTCCTGGACAAAGCTTGCTTGAACGGAATTCACAGAAGAATCTAAATTTTGCGAGGTAATCGTCCTTCTTCCGTAGAGATATAACCACATCTGCAGCGAAATTCACATGTAAGTTTCAGATTTTGTTGAGCAACAACCACTGTTAAATCAGTCTTGAAAAAAAGAAAAGAGGCATTACCAGGAATTCTATTTTTCAAATCCAGAAGCTGAAACAGTTTGGGGGCCTGATCATGCGAAAGGAAGGGCTCTAAAAGGGTCAAGAGCTCATGACGAGTAGTCAAAGAGGACAAACCGTAAGCAGCAAGGAACAACAAGCAACCTAAAACCAGCGATGGCTTGTTTGGATTGTTTTTCGCCTTTCTTAGCCAGTCAACCCCAAGTTGAGTCGCTTCCTGTTCCGCCTTCTTTCTGATTTCTAAATCCATCCCTATCAGTTTCTCTAACAAAGCGTTGCAACTCTTAACAACACCATCATCAGTTTCTTCAACATCTTTATTCAGATACTCCTTAAGAAACCCTTGTATAGCATCCAAAACAACCTTTGCCGGGTCCAAATATGGTATCATTCTTGACAAGGCTGCGTTCTTCTTGACAAAATCATCCGCAGAATCTGTAGGCGGTGTCACATTCGAGCCAACGTTTTTGGCCAGTAATGAAACTAACGGCTCAAATTTAAGTCTCAGCTTTTCTCCGGCGCTGATCCGTTCTTTCTCTTGCTCTACTTCTTTCACCTTCAATTCGAGCTCTATTGCTCTCGCCTTCAACTTCTCTTCTTCTTCCGCCTTTAGTTCGAGATCTTTTGCTCTCTCTTCCTTCAGCTTCTCTACTTCTTTCCCCTTCCATCCGAGCTCTTCTATTTTCCCATCGAGTTCCTTCAGCTTCTCATTATTGGATGTCTCCACGGATGCGAGTGTCTTCAAGAATGCCTCCCACTGTTCGACTTCTTCCCTATGTTTCTCCATCGCTGCCACCTGTTCCAAATGGAACTCCTCCCGCTTCTTCTCCAAACCTCTCAGTTCCAATTTAAGTGTCTCTTTTATCAAAGAGAGCTCTTCCTCCTTATCCTCAAGTTCTTGAGCTTTGCCCTTGATCGATTCCTCCTGTGATTCTAGTTCCTTGGCTCGCTCCTGGAGGATGTTTTTGGTGGAATCGAGATACGCCTCGATCTCCTTCGATTGAGCCGTAAGAAGAAGAACCGAATGAGCATCTTTTTGGAGAGAATCTAGGGTTTGGCGGAAGTTC